GAAAGACGCTGAAATAAGACACATTTGTATTCTAGAAGATCTTCAAGTAATATCGTAACATTTGACGTTATATTAGCATTGCCAAAAGGAATAAAATGAGCAGGCAGATACCGAATATTTGCTTAAATTCTGTGGGGTTTTACTTTTATATCTTGCTTAGTAGAAATAAAAGGTCTAATCACTATAAAATAATTTATTGGGTTCATATTGGATCAAACTTTTAATTTATGATTTCACAGGAATTGTCAATAATCAATAAGACATATAAGGCGATACTATATAATAAAATCTTATTTAATTTTGTTATCACCTTTATCGGAAAATTAAAAAAAACTTGGGCAAATTACATGTCATTTCAAATTCAGTCTAATTAAGAACTACACAGTATTTATGCTCTTCAGTGAGTTCTAACCGGTGCACGAGACTTTATTTAACACCCGTTTTTCTTCTTATTACAGGATAAAACAGTTATTCAATTGCTGTTTTGAGTAACAGCAAAACTAACGATTATTTTTATAGACTATAGTCTAGAGAGGAATTATTCGGGAGGTCAACAAAGTACGAGTATTAAGCTATGACATCATCAATAGCAGATTATCATTGATCGAGGTGAACGCTCGCACGTCACACTGTTAAGTGTATAATACTCATTCAAAGTGAAATCAATCCGATTATGTCTTTTATTTCAATCTTTTCTAACCTCCCACGCAAAAACATGGTTTGGTGAGTTACTGTGTCATGAATACAGAATTGTGTATTTTCTGAGCAATATATCGATTTTGTTACTGATTTTAAAATAGTTTTACTATGTTTTATCTCGTTTATTATCTTTGAAGATGCAGTTTCTAATGTATATATTTAACAGCGTAATTGTGATTACCTATTTATTTAGCCATAATATTGGCATTGTAAAATGATACAAATAAGACTTGCACGGTCGTTTTTACAACCTTTATACTTGATCAATAGATTCTTGACTAATTAAGATACAAATCGGGTTTATAAAATTATGTGAAATTACGTGTTAATAGCTAATTTTGTTGAGCGAAAGTATCTCCCAGCTCTTAAGAACGGTTTATGTGTGAATTAATTAAGCTCTTGGATGCTATGCATTGTACTTAATACAAATTAATTGATGCAGTATAATGAAACTGCTATGCTGCAATTTTCTCACAACCAGACCTGTGGCTTCGTTTGTATAAAAACGCGTTATGTTAACCAAACAAATGTTTATGATAAAATCGTTTCTAGAATCAATTTGGTAAACTTATGAACATCCATTAAATAGTTGACAGTGCTCAAGTCTTATTCTCCTACGAAGAATATTTAAGGTTTAAAGTGTTTGCACTAGTTGTACCCTAAGTTTGTAAGAAATGCAACAAATAGGCAAAACTATTTATTCGTAAAGCAATGAGCACCTCCTTCTTGCTTCATTGCCTATGCGATTCTAGAATGACTGATATTTTTGTATAAGTCGTGCCCCAATCGTACCTACTTCAGGTTGACGACATCGTGAAGATATCAATTTATTGATTCTGCCAGGTCGTATAAGGAGTGTATGTATATATTTGAACTGGAGCGATGTTAAGATGGATAGTTGGTTAACATAATTTAATTCTTAATTTCCTCTATTTGTAAAAGAAATGTAGGTTAAAGTCTAGACTTACGGCGACTAAGCCTACATTTGTCTGTCCTTTGGACTGACGCCAGAAGGATCTAGGCCCAGCCAAAAAACTTCCTGAGTTGCGAAAGAGACTTCAAAAGTGTAATTATTATATGTATTACAAAAAAATAAGAACGAATTTTAGTCTGATACATTGGTTAAGTTATGTGCTATATTAATATACACACAATAATTAATACACATGGATGTTCCCGTCCCGAGGCAAATCAATTTCTACAGCTAAATAACAAAATTAAAAGACGAACTAAATAAAAAGTTGTTACGAGATGTAAGAGAGCTAACGGGAATCACGTTCACTGAGTAACTTCTCCAACTAGCGCGAGATTGCCAACGATTCTTATTGTTAACAGTCTATCTTCGATCATGATGAAGGACATAAATATAAATGTTATTTGAACCTTCCATTTACTAATCTGACTGCACGCAGAATTCAATATTTTAATAGACTAATTTAAACAATTATATCTCTTCAAAAAATACATATATTTGTGTAGTTAAAAGAGTTGACGGAAAGTACATAGAATTTGGACTTTCATATCAAAAAAAGATAATTAGGATGCTACTTGTACTACATACACAAAAGCTGGCGCAGCCTTAGATCATGCGGAGTAGAGACGATTAGGCCGTGGGGTTTAAGTGCACAGGCGTTGATTAAAAATTACCCAGAGCTGGACCCCAGAGCTGGTTTCCTCGCTCAACGAATAAGTATCGCAATACAGCGAGGAAATTCTGCCGGCATTAAAGGTACACTGCCACAGGGACCAAACTTTAGTATATTATATATACTGTCATATAATAAAATTGTGTGTTGGAAATTAATACTTTATCAGCTAAAAAAAAAGATATACACTTTTTATTAATACATTAAACTAATTTTTTGCCGTAACCAATATTTTTTATCGCATTTAGTTACATCGACGACACTAAAAGATCAGTTTTATTGTAAAGCATTACAACTGATTTGATAAGTCTTTTTTTGTAATTTTTTTGTAGTTTTCATGACTGATGATAATTTTGTGCTTGGAAAAAAAAGCAAAAAATAATTTAAATGTTAAGGAATTTTTATTAACTATTTATGGTTAAAACAAAATCTTTTGTCTCTGTACACCTGTTACTGTTACTAATATTTACAAAAAAAGAGATTTGACTGCACTTATAAGTAAAGTTTATATTCCGGACAGTGTTTGGGATAATTTCGAAAATACTCGAAGAAAATGCTGTTAATTACATTCGCGTAAACCAATAAACCAGGATCATAAAATAAATTATCCATGTTATGAATAATGGCCTATTTATGACGCTGTAAGCACTTAGTGGTGTCGGCCTATTTTCCGGATGGCAACGCAAAAATTGTTGCCAAATTCAGACTTATTATTTATTGCTTGATATGCACTTAGTAGATAGTATAAGGCAGCCTTTGACAATATTATCGCGCTTTATGTATTATCTTAAAAGTATTCTCTTGATTTAAAATCCAAGATAGATTATTTTTTTATTTCTTCTTTATAAATTAAATGCATAATATACATAGGTACCAACGGGACACATTTCTTGCGTCATAAGGCAAGTGAGCGTTCTTTTCGATACCAGCCTTGCGATTCTGTAACTCACTTTTCAAACTCTCACAGCGGTTTTCACAGCAGCCGCGGCGGTCGCGCTCAAATCAGTCGTAAAGCAGTCATTTTACGATTTGGCATTCGGATAAGGAGGGAGCTTGTAGTTTATTGTTTCGAGAGTTTGAAAAGTGACTTACAGAATCGCAAGGCAGATCATTTCTAACGTGGTATGTGATCGACCTCACATATGAGATTATAATATTGAAACTTATTTATTCGGTGTTGCCAGCACGGCAGCTGCCATTAGGCATCGTTGCGCCGTGCAATTTCCTGGCAATCCAGTGAGCGTGTACGGAGTTCGTAATTAATGTTTTTCTTTCAATAACGTACTGAAACTGTTATTGAACGAGTCTTAAGTGGAGATCGTTGAACCTAGTTTTTAACTTGTGACCCGCCCAGGCATCGCACGGTAGAGTTGTTACGAAATAAGGCAGCCGGTAACAGTATACTAGTAACAGTTTCTGTATTTATTATCTATTAATTGCAGAGTAATATTTAAAAAAACCGTTCGATTCTATAAAGAAGAATGGCTTGATAAATTACGGCATAAATTAGTGGGAGTAGCAGGTATTAAAAAGTTTATATTTATTGTTAGACCAGCTACAGTGTACCTTGGAAGTGCGTCAAGCTTGATGAACTCATATAAACTGAAAGATCCTCTAATGGAACACAGCCTAGTGAGGTAAAGGGCAGAGAATTTTCATCTATTTAACTACTTATTATGTACAGGCCAGTCAGATAAACCGAAGCCGAAGACAAACCGAATTATTGCTTTTGCCGGAAATCAAACTATGAAAAAACCATGTTAACTAGGGGCCTTACATAACTTTACGACGATGGTGTTGATGGTATTCAAGGAAGAATTAATTTATATAGGATTAAAACGCGTTTACTAATTAAATTATCAATCGTAATCAAAACCGTTATTTACCCGTGACGGTATTGTAAATAATGCAAACTACATATTTTTTTGAATCCGATCATTAATATATAATATCATCGTAAATCAGAAAAAATAAAGGTTTTGCTTTTGACATTAATAACCTCCAGGGGCTAATAAATAGTAGTTACCTACATGGCTCTACGACGCGTAGCAAGTATCACGTAGCTCTGATTTTAATGCCGCGTAGCGATAATGTTAAATTTTTACTCCAGCGCATTATTAAAACATTTCAGCTTAATATTTTAATTTAACGTAAATTAAAACGCTGATTTATTGGTACTTAAGTGCGTGGTTACTGTACTTCAATTTAAATAGTTTGCTGATTTTGAAACGTTCCTGCTGGTGTCATCGTTCGCATTTATTAATTAAATAAAAAAAATGAATACTTCCTTTCTTGACAGCATGTCCATAGATTTCATATTCATTCCATTTCGTTTATATCCGCTGTACCTTAGTATAAGTTAATTAAATATAAAGCTTACATAAACATTATTAAATTGAAATAAATACGTTTAGGGTATATTTTGGCAGTGGAACTGGGTTTTACAGTTAAAATATAATTGGGCCACCTCGAGAGGTACTCCCATTGACCTATCAGAGTGACATCAATGGAAGGAGTTCTTAAGCATGCGTACCTCGCCCGACGCCGAATGCCAGGCGTAACTTCCTTCAAATACTATGCATTGTAATCCCGTTTATTACAAAGTTCCTTGAATACTCCCCCGACTTGCATTATACAACTACCAAACGGCTTTAATCAATGCAAACCACTGACCTGATTCTCCTGATTGAGCAATTTGAGCTGATCGTTAATAAGGCTGTATTTCGCGCTTTCCTCTTTCCGTAGCGCTCGTTCCTTTTTCAGTTCTGGACTCCAGAACGTCTTTATACTATGCATGCTGGATCCTAATTTCTGGTTTGTCAGTTCGAGTTCCTTTTTCAAGTTGCCAAGTTCGCGCTGTAGGTCGGAGTTTTGGGATTGTAGTTCGCCGAGGAAGAGCGGTGGCGGTTCTCGGCGATAGTAGTCATCTTCAGGGGGCGGTGGCGGGGCGTACGAGCGGTCGTAATCTCGTTCTAGGGACTGGTAGCGGAGTGGCCTGGGTCTGGCTCGATGGTGGGCGCCGGCCGAGGCGGACCGGCCGCGCTCGTCCGGCGCCGGGGAGGGTTCGTCATCGCGCTGGAGGTAGGGACTGCGGCGGCTGGGACTGCGGTCCACCTGGGGAAGGCGGCCGCGCGACCACTCCTGCCGACGCCATTCGTCTCGGCACGGCGGCCGCTCCTCTTCGCCGGCGTACTCGCGGAGATACAGTTTGACGTGTTTCCCGCCTCAATTCGAACGCATTGTGCTCTGGACTCGGCGACGGGCGCGCGATCACTGTGTTACGAGCCCGGGGGATCGATCGTTGTGGATAGCGCATGCGTGAACAATGTAGCGCTGTCAGCGCTTCACGATTTTAATCTATAATTGGACGTGTACGAGATGCGTATTGATGTATGATAATTTATGCTTCTAAGTGGTTAAGGTAGTTTTGGGATTGTTCTCAACTAACTTTAACTTCCTTTAAATTATTAATCTCATCAAATCTTAATTAAATTTATTTGATTAGGTGTGATCAAATCTTTTAGATTTTGATGAACACCTTAATCTCCAATATGTATTTAAATTTTTATATCATTGTAATTTTCATTTACCACCGCCATCCGGAAAATTATAAACGTGTAAAGATACATACCCACCGACATTTTAAAATAAAAATCTGAATGTGTGAGTATTCATGATATTCACCCTTAGAAATACCAAATATTTATAAAGAACGCTAACAACGTAAAAACGAAAAGGCCCCAGCAAAACAAGTTGGGCATTTAATTCAAAATCCTTCAATTTAAAATATGTCACTCATTCTATTATTAGAACGGTTTTCAGATTCCCATTTTAAAAATGACTCACTCAGCGTCACAGCGCTTTAAAATAAACTTCCCTATTTCTCCGCTTGGTGACCCACTTAAATTTTCTATCTTTATCAAACACTACAAGATACGTATGTCTATCTCTGTTTGCCATAAGGTCATCGGTATGTTGGTGGTAGTACTCTGAAGAACTTGATAGTAGGTAAGACGATATCCTTATTTCTTAGCAGTTATAAAACCTACGGTATTTTTATAACAATATTACTTGCAGAAAAACTGCAATTAAACCGTATATAATAGTTAAAATATCAGCACCGCGTATCTATATAGATGTATCAATTTTATTTATATACTATTATTAAATTAATAGTAAACAAAAACAATATCTAAAGCTTAAAAAATGAAAATCAAAAACGTTGTTTTGCTTGTGGCTTCCCTGAGATGAATTTGTTCGAACGAATAGACCGTTTTGTTTTTCTGACCTTATTATTTAGTTTGGGTCCAACGATTTTATGCCAAACTAGCTAACTTAATTTTATGCCTTCTTTGGCATGTATCTGTAGATGGCACCTTTTCAAGGGAATAATGTATTTTCTACTTTTATATTCTTCGAAGACTTCGAAAAATAGCACTTTTAAGTTATAAAAATATATCTGTCGCCATTAAACCAGGTGGCCGCGTTAGCATGCAAAAGCAACCCCGGAAATCTCGTTCTGTAACGGACGGTGTTTATATGGGTATTGCTCACCCGAATGGGTAGCAGAGATGCCTGGAGAGTCGAGGCTCACATATCCTATTAGCCTTTGAATTGCGGGGAGTGTGCAAAATGGTTTTTTGGGTTATATTTATAAAAGACCCAACGAATAAGAATGAAATGAATAACGTATTACTAAACAGACAAAAAAATCGAAGGCGTGTAGGCTCCATATTCAAAATACTATTCGTAATTGCTACAATTTTTATGTTGAATAGAAATAGTACTAAAAGTCGCTTAAGATTCGTTTAAAAAACCTAATCGTAACAATTACGACTGGTAATTTGTAATACAAGTTATATCGATTGATGAAAGAACTGTAAAACGAGGTATTTCGCCACCTGGGATAGCATCTATTCCTCAAACCACTACAAAGCGTCTTGTACATATTTGGTTGAATCGACCACCTTCATGGGTCATAAACCAGCTGCTTCGACCGTTATGACTATTGAGAAATATCGCCATTTTTGAGGTTAAGTGAAAGAATTTTTAAACACTGCAAGTGGGTAGACTATGTAAAATAGGCAATGGTTCAAACTTTCTACATTTTTGTCGATAATAGAAAGTTCTTCTTTTCCGACGTCGATAAGAAGCAGATAGAGTATGCCAGATACTTTTAAATATCGAGAACATTTACCCCAAATAATATAAACAGTGTATAAAACACGCATCTAAGCACCTTTGCCCCACTGCCATTGCCTATGCCAAACATGTGACAGAAAAATATGTACAGTAATAAAGCTGTTATGTTTGGCAGTATTGGAATTGAATTTATATAGTCTGTGTGAAAACAACCATCATATTTCTAGAATCTTGATAGCACAATCCTTATGTTGACAGCACTGTCAGTCTTTACGTTATTATACTTCGACAGTAATAATGTTGATACTAAATATGCAAAAAATTAAATTATATAGATTATTTAAATGTATAGATAATTTATTCAGTCTGATTTAACGAATTAGTGTGCGTTTTCCAATTACAGCACTAGAGCGCATTTTGCGGCATAATGCTCAACGTTGAGTGTTCCAACTACAGCAACGCTTCGCACAATTGAGCACTCTCAAAACGAATGCTCTCGCAAACAATACCAACACAGTGACAGAAAATTGACCAGTATTTTTCTTTAAGTTGGCATTTATCGAAATTTTCGTTAGTAAATATTATTTATTGTTGAAAAATTTGTAAGGCTTTCGTTTCGTCGTAGATTTTGAAAATAATTAAAGTTATTTCAAACTGCTAAAAAAATAAATATGTATTAGTATGGATGAAGGTATAAATAGTTACTTTTTTTATATTCCACATTTAAAATATGAATACAATTTTATTTTAAAATTCGGATCTGTAAACAAATTTACTTTACAGGATTATACTTTAGAAAAAATTGCAATGGTTTTGAAAAAGTATATATTTTTTTAGAAATCATTAAAAAATATTACTCAAAACGTAAATGATGTAAACTTCTTACATGAAACTAAATATTTTACTGTTAATTTAGCTTGTTAAAACCTTATATTCTTTAAAGGTTTTCTCTTATTTCAGTAAAAAAAATTTAATGAAATAATTTGATTATTAAATTAAGCGTAAAAAGTTTTCAACCAATTATTATTGTTTACCACATTATTTATACATTAATGAGGTTGCTAACTCTATTCAGACCATTTTTTTGTCAACACTGACTTAGCGCACTCTGCTGATGCATTTGAAAACTAATTCACGTTCCAATTAAGCTTCAGCATTATGCGGCATTGTGCGGCACTGAGTCGAAAAATGCTCTGTAATTGGAAAACGCACAGTAATGAAATCCAATGACTAATTTTGATTGTCAGTTGTCAAACTGAAGCCCTTTAATTTTAATGTGTATTGTCACTTAGTATTTTGAGGTTATGTCTTGTTAGTGTTATGATTTTGGTAAATTATATTTAATACTATTTTGAATTAACAACACAATCAATTTAAGATGCCTCTACCTCCTGCCAGTGGTACTGGTAAATATTACGCATTAGCGGCAAAATCAATTCGGTTAATACGTCAAGGATGTACTAATAGGCCGTTTTTTCATATATCAGTTACTCAGGTAATCATTGTTAAGTTTAAAACGTAATCAATTCTTTTCAATTTTGATATTCACTTAAGCCTTCTGAGTAGAGAAATAAATTTGTTAATTTAATAGTAAACAACTGAGAAATATAATGTATTTTAAGGTATAGCTAATATTAAGGTATATTTCTAATAATAATATGCTTTCAGCGAAAGAGATTAAATAGCCAACCAGTTATTGAACAGTTGGGTTCATATGATCCTATGCCAAATATAAATAATGAGAAATTGGTTGCTTTGAATTTAGAAAGGCTAAAATTCTGGCTAGGACAGGGAGCACATGTAACATCTCCAGTAGCCGAGTTGTTGGGTAATTCTATTTATTCTATTTTTATAAGTAGATTATGTTATTTTTTTTATAACTAAAATATTACAGTACTTATGTCATACAAACACTATGAAATGATTTATATAATCATTATTTTAAATTTCTTGAAGTATGTGTTAAGTTCTTTTCTCATCTATCCAGATACATTAAACATAAATACCTTATTCATACTTTAGTATTATAATTTCTATTGGTGTTCACAGGTCTAACTGGCTTCTTCCCAATTCATCCAAAATCATATATGACAGCTTGGAGAAACAGACAAGCGGAACTAGACAGACTAACAAGTGAAAAAGAAGCAGCAAAGAGTACTGCATAATTTAAGATATATATATATAATGTAGCAATTATGATAAATAAATTTAGTAACTTATTTTTTTTTTAATGATCATGTTCAATCTTCGATAATAGAGAAACATTCTGGTCCTCCTCTGGAATCTTATAAATTGACAAGAAAACTTAGTAACTATTAATGTTGCTTTAATGACTACTGTAGAGAACTAGTACTATAAAATATTTGTTTAGATCCTAATTTGCTGGGACTTATCTTATTAGGAAACAATAAGGTTACATAGAAAGAAACAAGCAAGTCAATGAACTTCTTTATTTAAGTGAAATGGCATTCTTAATATATTTCTTAATGAAAAATCAGACAGCCAGTAAACAAGGCACAAAACAAACAATTTACTATGTATTATCACGCTCAAATTCTCTAAGTGGCAACACTTAAGCTTGTGCGACAACCGCAAGATAAAAAACAAGGTCTTATAGAAATTGAATAACAAAAACATTTCAAGAGCAACTTTAGGAATAACAATAAATTTTTATGATAAAAAAGGACATAAATTGCAAGATATGAGTGAGTACAAAAAGATGGAAAATTCATTGCCTTAAATATATAAGGAGAAAAAGAAAGCCACTTACATTCCTAAGATTTAAAGTCACAAAGAATTTACTAGAAAAATTAAAACTAAAAACTTTCGATTTAATACAAAACATACACCATGATGATTTTAGATCATTATATCTACCCAATACCGACGTGACAGCGTACATGTTACACAAAACATTTGTTTAAACGCCTTATATCAGGGTGATTTATTAATCGGACCCATTTGATTTCATTGATCAAAAGTTAGTAGTTGCAAAGGTTTCAAAATAAACCAAGCAATGTTCAATTATAACAGGAATTATTTCAGAAATGGTACCATTGTGAATATATTCTTTTCAAAAAAATTTATTTAGTGTATTGAAATAACGTAATGATTCAATATGAAAGCGTAGTGCTGTATAGTGCTGTATTTGATGTTTTGTACTTTTCCCTCAATGGTAAAGTTAATTAATCCTAGTTGCTCTTCCTTACAGCGTCTGTAACTAGGCGTGAAGCTGAAATAACAAAAACTTATTTAAAGAGAAGAGTATTTAAATATATATTTATGTATATAGGTGATGGCGTGATCAGAGAAAGCATATTTTTTTGAATCGTATTTAATCCAGAGTTATTGTTACCAGTTGTTGAGTAGTAAGACAGCGCGTATGGATTCGAGCTACGCGCTGTATATGTCACCGTAAAATTGTAAACACACAAACAATCTAAAGATTGTAATCTATCTCGCCAGATTGTAAACTGTCGAAAGATTGTCAACTCAACGTACTGCTTACAATTTAACGTAATATTATACAGTAGATTGTAATCTATCGAAGTGAAACCGTCAAATTACAATCTTAAAAATTGTCAAATTGTTAACTGTCCGAAGGCTTTCCCTAATTGGTCCGCTTTATAGTAGACCGTTCTCAGTCAAATAAACTGAATGCACTTCAAGAATTGTAACATCAAGTATTTATTCATTACTTAGTAGTTAAACAATAATTCTGACATCAAATGGTAAAAAAATTGTATCAAAATAAAAAATCAGAAACGTAACAATATTTTCGCCTCAAACATAAATTAAAATTGAAAAAGTAATGAAATTTTCTTTCATTTCATTTCAAACACTAACTCAGTTATCATTCAAACTTCTTTGGTCAATCACAGATTAATTTTACTTCCCAACAATTTAATGTAACTAATTCTAAAGCTGTGAGTTACTTTCAACACGACATCAATTTACATTCATCAAAACAATCAATTTACATTCGACAACAAACAAATATGGTGGCGCGGGGCATATTCCGTTCCACCAATCAGCGCGCGAGGTGCGATCCGTTTCACAATTTTACGGTTTCGCTTCGATATATTACAATCTACCGAATAATAATACGTTAAATTGTAAGCAGTACGTTGAGTTGACAATCTTTCGACAATATACAATCTCGCGAGATAGAATACAATCTAACGGTGTTTACAATTTTACGGTGACATACATTCTCGAAAATGGTCCAATAGTTTGTGCAAGTTACTGTCATTCCATTTTACTACACCCTTAGCACAAACTTTTCCATAATATATTTATAATAATTTATTCCTCATGTATTCGTACTGTACGACTTAAGGATAGTTTGTGTTAAGAGGGCTGTAACAACTTTGAAAAACGATATGAAGCATTTGACACGATAGCAATTACAAAATTTCACACTAACTTGAAGCTCAGTTAAAACTACTAAAATGGAACAACTAGTGTTGGTTGGAAAGATTTAATTATTTGAGGAAATTGGTGTAAACATGAAATCTTTTAATATTACTGGGAATACTCAAATAATAATTTGATAGATCAATTCCGTAAAAATGGTAGAGGTTCTATTATAATCTAAAATAATATTATGTTTAGTTACAATCAAGCTACTTCAACAGACAGGCATTAATTAAATCCACCTTGATGAGTCTAAATATATAGTCATTACTTGTATGTTAATTTAATGTTAGAAATAAACAGAAAATTTAAAGTAAAGGTTTAGGCTTAATATTAATAAGCAAGTTAAACATAGCAAATATAAATCAAGCAGTTTTGACTTATGTTTGCTCAATAGAGCCATAAATAAATTGAGATCATGACAACAAAAAGGTTGTTAGGAAGTGTTAAAAACTTTACTTTGAGTATAAACTCATCCCATGCAACAAAATGTGAGTAAATTTAAGAGTGTGTTTTGCAATTTTTATTTACGGCATCCATTTGACAGTTACATAGATAAACAAGTCGTTTTAAAGCTTTTACTTAAGCACACACTGAAAGCTGCCAGTTCATTGGTTTTTACTTACTTCAGTGCAGTACAGCTCTATTCTTGTTTACCTAAAATAAGGGTTTGGGTTTAATATGAAACGAAAATTACCATAGGCCTCAAATGAGCAAAGAATTAGCAGTCATGGTTAAACAGATATGTTCAGTGCTGACATACTTAGATTCAATCTTAAAGTTTAACTTTATTAGTCTCTTTCACTTAAGGTGAGTGCGCAATAACGCATAAATTAACACTTAGGAATTAAGACTGGAATTACTCAAAGTAAAAGTATATTGTTTTATTTCTTTCATTTAATCAAGCTGATTCTTTGCTCATTTGCTCCATAAATTCACAAAAATACTATTAACTGATAAAATGTGCAATAAATGGTGAAATATAAAGATAAATAAAATACATAATACATTACAGGAGCTCCTCAAAAATTGTCCAAAGAATAATACAAATTTATTTAGTTTAGCTTCAAGCAACTGAACAATTTTTGAAGGACCCATTGTTTATTAGAATAAAAGGTGAAAAAACTAATACAAATAAAAAAAAACAAACATACACGATTATATAACATGATTCTAGCCCAATTTTTTCATAGACGTATTTATCTTCCTATTTGCACCTTGCACCAACTCTTGGATATTCACGGGATCTTTTAAGAATGAAAATATATTGAATGTATACAAAACTTCGCCGTCATCATAACACGTATTCTAATTCGTGGCTTAAGTACTTGAAAAATATAATAATAAATTTGTTTCACTACAGTAACGTACGATAACCGAATGTCTCTTTCTATGTTTGTTAGTGAGACCAAGAGAGGGCATGCTTCAGTCTCCGCTCTGAGAACATCTTGTGGCAATTAATTTTTACTATTATATTGTCTTTCTTATTCGCAGCCGTGTTGTAAACAAGATTCCGAAAAAAAGGGAACTGTCCACTTTGAATGCCCATAATTTTCTGCATATAAGAATGAAATATTGTACATAATATGAAAGCTACGCATATGCTCGGTTCCTATTAGAATCTCTAAGAAAAAAGTGACATAAAAGACATTGAATTTGTGATCATGGCCTTATTATACCTCATAGCAAAGCAAATACTGACCCCCTTATTCATATAAATTGAATCAGTTTACTCAGTGCACAGTGCAACAATAAAACCTCTTATAATTAAAGTATCTATAAAATTATGTTTTAACTGTGATGTAAGCATGCCACACGTGCAATTAGACAGAATTATTTTTTATGAATAATGAGGTGAGTTAGCAACCGCAACCCATTACGTTAATATATATAACTTAAGTTTATGCTTCTACATTAATAGTATCTCGACGCTTTCAGCTGGATTAATAAAGCATTCCTTTGAGCTCTAAACATGTAAATGTAAATGCGAGGTTTTGGGTAGGACAGACCATAGGAAAATGTTATACTTGATTTAAGCCTCATGCTCTGATTTTTAGTAAGCCCTCAGGCATTTTACCTGTTACTCATCTTTATGCTGAAATGTATTCTTCAGTGTTTTGTTAATCGACTTAACAGTTTTATTAATATCCTTATTTACTTCCTTAAAAAGCTGATGTAAAGGATCTAAAAAAAGAATACCTTCAACAGTGGATCGGCTGTTTTATTTTAATTAAACAGTTTCTTCTTATTTTTAAATAAGTTTGACGCGTAAATTCAAAGATATTGATATGTAAACATGCACGTTTCGAAAGCCCTAACGTTATTCAGTGATTTTTTTTTACATAAAAACAAACATTGTTAGGTGTGTCTGAAAATAACATTCTCAAAGGATTATTATATTGGAGTCCTTTATTCAGAGAAGTACTCAAGTTTTCATATACAATACGACGTAATCCAGAGTATATAATAGTTAAAATATGCATTGAAACTCAACGTGTTCGCCGGGCCAAGTTCATTTTCCAGGCTTGTATATCAGTATCGAAAATCACATTTACACTAATATTTTTCTTGTCCACTAAATAGGTTATTCGGAATACATTTATCAATTTTTAACCAACTCATGCCATCTCGCTGACGCTGTAAATTCTCTTTTAAAATCATTCCGCTTAATTGATTGATACAAGTTTTCTAACTTAGTACTAAGACCGAAAAAAATAACCCAAATGACAAATTAATTAACTTTAAGTTGTGGCATTTATTCTTCCTCTACTCTTAATTTATAAATAATATCCAAAAAGATTTGTTTATTAAACCAACCATTAAGCTGATTAACATTCGGGGGTCAGTTCCTAACGTCATATTGTGTTACTGTTCTACCATTAATTTATTTTTACCTGACGCAGCCAGATCATCAATTCTGGCGTGGTGCTTGTGGTAGTAGGGGCGAATGATGCGGTTGTAGATTATCAATGAGCCATTGTAGTCTGTTGGGAGGTAGCACCAGATTATGAAGATACACTGTAATTGAATAAATCCAAGGTTTAGAGAGAAAGTGTTTGTTTTTTCAAATATTGTCTGGAGTTTAGCTTGACAACCATGTCATCTACCAACATAACCTATCTTGTCGATAATGAAAATCAAGCAAAGATGTTTTGTAATAATAAGAATTGTTATTGTAATTTGTTTAAAGATAATGCACCATTCATAACTTTGTAGTTTAAACTTTGCTTTTAAGTTAATAGGAAAACAGATTCCACTACAAAACCCCAGATAAGATTGCCACTATTTTCCTAGTTAATAAAAAAAAACAATCCGTTCTCTCAAGATATCTCAATTGCACAATTCAACAAATAAACATTACACTTTAAATTCATAACCTCCTTGATTAACAATTGATAAACTTTGATTATTTTGAAGTTGGTTAATAAATAATAGATGCAATTCTAAGAAATAGCTAAACTTCTTATAAATAACACGTCAAATAAACAACTACTTGTACTGAACGAAATAATTTTCATGTCATGCTCACTGTCAGATTTTAACTATTAATTGCTCTATGACAAAACTTGATTAAATTGCATAATATCATCCACATAATGCCCTTGTTTTTTATTACATACATGTATAATATTACTTGTGTACACAGCAACAACTACAAAGGTCAAAAGCAAGGTTGGGGCAACCACTTTCACATTAAGTGTACAATGATAACATATTGCTTTTAAAAATAAACCATTAATTATCTTAATGAGTCATTAGTGACCTCTCACTGTGGAAACAATACATCATTGTGATATAACCTATTTTTTATAGCGCGGAATTTTTATATGAACACTAATGGATAATTATTTGAATGAATATAATATTACTGTAGTATTTTATCTTGCATTATTTGATAATAAATATAAAGACAAATTTATTAAGCAATTTAAATTAATAATTTAAAATTGATTATTAAAGGAAAATTTATATAGGCAAATTTGCCTTTTAATGATCTACCAACAAGTAAATCATAATATTATTTTTTATGATATCTACCTCAATGTAGACAAAGGCAAAATAGGTGTTTAAGTATGTTGCAGTTTGAATTTTTGCTAAAAAGCCTTAACTATACTTTCATCACCTCATTGTAATCTGTTAGTAAGGTATAATAATTAGAATAAATTTCCATGACCTATCAGTAGTAAGATAGTTTATCTTAATTGATCTTAGAAAGTAACACAAATTGATTTAAGCCTTACCACCCCCATATAGTTAGAATTTTAAGTTTTGTAGTGAAGTCTTGTAACCACTCCTAGAACATGTCGGAGATAAATGTATTTAGTATATTTGTATATATGTTTTAATGATAATTATCCTGTTTATTAACCTTTCTAATGAGGACAATTATTGTTTTACTATGTTCTAAGCCCACATGTTGTACTATGTATATATATTATATTAAATTCACATAATCAACAGGCCTAAATCTTGTTATAATTGTAGTTTAAATTATAAACTCTTTAATTGAAAACAATGGCAATGCATTGTCAAAATTTATTCTCCTAGCATGATTCCAATATAAACAAGAATTGCTTTTTTGTACTATAAGGGTATAGGTTAGGTTAAGTTATTACTAATAAGTGGTTTTTGTTTCCTTGATAAAAAATTTAACAAAAACTACCACAAAATGAACTATGTAACATAATCTTTGAGAACTGAAGTGTGACATATTAAGTTACATAAGACTGCAATTTCATATTACTTTATGCATGCTATTAACTAGAGTATGAATGTGCACTAATAGAAACATGTACAGTTTACTTAGTTACATAATAAAAATTGATGTGATGGTGAAACAAAACGGTTTAAATAAAATTTATATTAAATGATTCCCGATCTTATTATATTGTAAGCAAATTTACAAATGAAGCCACTGGATGAAAGCAAATTAAGAAATCATTTTTGCACTTATCATTGCTTATCAAGAATTAGTTTATCTTAGATAGCAACTATGTGTATAATATATCTGTACTGGTAATTGGTACCAATATATGTATATATTATGCATTAATATGAAAAAAAAGTTTATATTGGATATAAATATTATTTAACACAAGCTGAAATTTGAATGAACATTGCCTAGTACATATAGCTACACAATACTTGTGACATTGTAGACTACACTAACATACATTATAAATATACCTAATTTTTATTTACCATTTATTCAACTTAACATTAAGTTAAGCATGAGATATAAACAATTTTATAGGCATTTAGTTCAATAAGATCAAGTAATTTATTGTGGTCATTCCTACTCAATGAAAAGGGTGTTTGTATAATACTGATACTAACCTTGATCAACCAGTAAAGCGGGAACCATCCAACAATGAAGTCTGAAAAGTATTCCACTATTGAGAAGCAAGCGAAGACAACCCAGTAGGTAAGCCACTTTGTATCGTCATCTTTTTGTGGCGACTCTAATGCTTTCATTGACATGTAGGCGGGGTAAACGAAACCAATGGAATTGCATATCAATTCAGCTCCGAACCCGAATACTAAATATAAACCGGTGAACGCCACCAAGCCTGTGGAAAAACAAACGTCAAAATCATAGCTTACGTTATAAATAACTTTATAAAAAAGTTACCTACCAACGAATAGATAGACTCTATTTACGCCCGTCCTTTGTTCTGCTAAGTCAAAATACTTTGTCCAAGGTTTGCTTTTGTCGTTTAGGCTACGCTCTACAGTGTCTTTGTACTCTTGCAATTTGGAACCCATTTTTGTAAAAATTATTGGTCTGGGGTGTGTTGAATTATTATCCGCGGCCACGGCTCATTGACGGACACGAGACAATGAACTATGAAAATTGAAGAGTATAGTGAGTATACTCAAAAATGACATAAGTCGTGACGTTTGACGATGATAATTGACAGAAGACGTGATTTGATAACCACAGACATTATTATTAATTAACAAGTTTAAGTTCGTGGTAACTACAGATAAGTAACCATTTAAATGGCGAGTCTCCTGCTATAATTGTAATAATTATAGGTCTACCAGGATCTGATGGCAAAAAGGGAAAAAAGAAATTGACGCTAGCAATACTGGGGAAATTGGAGTAAAACGTTTTGATACTTTTTTTTTCCTTATAGCGGCTGATTCTGTGTGTGATATATGCAAAATATATAAAAATTTATCCAATGATAATTTTTGAAAATGTGGCGAATGTGGGGTTTGAAATTTAGATGAAAACTCCAATTACTCTGTTCATGAGTTTATTAATTAATTAAGAACTTTAAAATGGTTCCAAATACTGCACATCCATAAAAAAGTCTTCAACGCAGTATTTATAATAAACCTTTCCTCCTGCATCTCAATTAACCGATCTTGTTCTATGAACTTATTTTAAATTTTTATTACATGTTCACAAGATTTTCGCTATTCATCGATCCCTATTTGAGAGAAAGAAACAATGTAAAACTCATTTATCTTGTTTCTGATCAATTCTAAATCAAAACTATCCAAGTTTATTTGTGGTATAAGAAACCCCTGAAATAAACCAAAATTTAGTATAAGTACAAATATAATACACACGAAGAATCCCATAAACCAAAGTATCAAGACGTGTCATTCCTACTAACCAGTCAACGCTTGCACATGGCTCAATATCGATGATTGTGTATGTTCTGCATCTTGTTGATCAAGTATTCTTTGATAAACATTGAAAACAATATGTCTTGCTTGCGATCGAAGAGGTTTCTTCGACATTTTCATCACTTTTTAAAGGAAATTTGAAGCCAAACCAAAAACAATTCCTCGAAATTTCAGTTGACAGATGAAATTTTTCTTTTTATTGCCATATGAAAATCGCTAATTTAAAAAAAAAAATTGCCATCAGATTCTGGTAGACCTATAATGTGTAAATTATATTATTATTTTACGCAATTTAAAATAATATCTTACAATTTATTGTATTGTAAGACGGCCGGAATAACTTTGTAAGCGTGTTTCAGCGTGACTACATCGGAGTGATTTATACTCGTAGATTGGTATAGGTGTCGATAAAAACTTCTACTGCTTTCTAAAATGGCATATAAAATAAATCAGTGGCGCTACAACCTCTTTAGGTCCGGGCCTCAGATTTCTGAATCTGTTTCATGATCATTTTTAAAGTAGTTCAGCCTCCAGTGCCTGAGACACGCCGTCGACTTTTGGGTCTAAGACATGTCCGTTGCCTCACGATGTTTTCCTTCACCGTTCGAGCGAATGTTAAATGCGCACATAGAAAGAAAGTCCATTGGTGCACAGCCGGTGATCGAACCTACAACTTCAGGGATGAGAGTCGCACGGTGACGCCACTAGGCCAATACTGCTCTACTAAAATGGCATATACCTGATTTAAAAGACAGGATTAACTTGATATGCATTTTAGTCTCAAAAAATAATGATGGTGAGGCCTAAATAGATTAACTTAAATATTATACAATTTGAAATTCAATATCATATTCAAAAGTTATGGTTCATACGTTAATAAAACTTCAACGATAATTTTGAAACGTTTTTATTTTTAAAATATGAAAAGCATTAACATTTATCACTTGTGTTTTAATTACAATCTTACGGTTAATATGAGAAATCTCTTAAGTAGGTAAAAATAACAACATAATTAGTTTAGTTGGTAATTCTCCTATAAAAAGAATAAATAAAAATATTGTTTTATATCTTGAGACACTTTTATAATACATTATTTGTATGACGTACATAAATATTTTTACCGTAACAACGTATTTTTAACGTACCTATACAACATCATATGAATCATTACAACTATATGACTTTTAATAAAATACGTACTTACATAATAAGAGTGTACATAAGAAAAACTTTTAAGCTTGTATTGCGTAGATATCACAATTTTAGTTTAAATTATTAACCTATCTAATGTTTTGTGCTGATGTGCAGTAGAACGAAAAAGTGCTACGAATTGTGCTTGAAACACTCAGTAAGTTTTAAGACTATATAGTGAAACTATGAAGACATTTTTATATTATGCAGAGAAATTGAATTATCAGATAAAATTAAAAATCGAAGGCTCCAGCAGTAACCTAACTAAGGTAGTTAACATAAAATAGTAAGCAAAATAATGACTAGATAATTTATTACTAGTTGTATCGGTTGACCGTAGACGTACGGCTACAATATAAGTCCTAATGGAGTCTTGAAGCTATCTGGCAACCCTCGCTGGGTTTAATAGACCAACGCCAATAAACTATAAACATAAGTCATCGCACAATATCTGTTTTTGATGCGACACATAAAAGGCTGAAAATTTCCAAACTGATGATTTAGTGTCTAAACCTTTTTTTAAATATAAAATCCTATGTAAATGCAAGAGTTTTGTCTTAGATTTTATCTAACTATTAAAACGTTATTAAAACAAAAGAATTAATGAGATTGGTCTCAGTCTTATGCTATTATATTCTTACAAAAAGATGTCTTCTATTATTTAATGATAACATGACGTGATCGTTAAATCTTAAAAATTTTAATATCCAAACTATATGAATCGTACAATATGTATAAATAAATCAACAACCCATATTTTTTCAAGGTCAAGTAAATGTGACTTTATATTTGAAACCAGATATTTCGTTAAGGTCTCGCGATGTATTAAATATTCGACAAGAAATTGAATGAAAATTTCGGTATAATCTCCAGTCAATTTATAACGAGGAAAATCAGATTTGTATATACAAGGTTCTAATACGTGTAACCTCATATATTGTCTCATGACTATTTAATATCTGAGATCGTCATTTTTGACAGGTATTATAAGCCTGATTACTTTTATCTATGCAACAATATGAGACAATCTATAAAATAAATCCTGTAATAATTGATTTTTAAATTGTAACGTCTTGGAGTACGAGCCTTATAACTGTTATGCCTGCAAGTAGGTATAGTAATCTAGAGGAATAAAAAAAGTAATGTAATCTATGTTCTAATTAAATTTAAAATTAAAATAAATAGTTGTCACTTTCATCTTATCTTGGTAGTTGATTAATCATGAATAATTGTTTATTATACAAATAGCTATTAATTATAGTATGTTCAAATAATTTTATAGAAAATTTAGTTTACATTTAACAGCATTTATAATACTTTATTTAATAATGACAAAAGGTATACTATCTATCCTACTGATAAGAAAATGGAGGAAAGAAGGAAGAATTCTTATTAAGAGATTCATTTGGAAATGAAGGGAATGCAAAATTATTTCTAATTATGTGCCTAATAATTTTATCAGTCGATTATTACGCCTATGCCATCTCACTGAATATTTTCATACATTCTGGACGTTTCAAGCAGGTACTCTCACAATTATATAATAATTTTAATGTCTATTGACAATGTATCAATAATTAACTTGGATATTATAGGATTTTAATAGAATTGAGAAACAATGCTGTTGTTTGTTCGAAATTTAATATGATGATGTCATGTTACTAATGTAATGAGATATTATTGTTTTAAAGCAAGCATGAAATCACCCTTCTGTGTTATGGCAATCAAACCCATTAACGTTACCGTACAACAACGCCACGGAGGGTTTAAGTAATTATTAGGTGTATAGTCAATTAATTTTTCAACAGTTTCCACATTTCAATATACCTATTACAAAGAAAGGTATGAAAACTAAGTAAATTGTTTTATTCATAACAAAAAATTCAAATTCACATGCAACTTAAATGATTAGCCCAGAGTTCGAACCTGACATCTTACCATTTCACTTTTTTTTTCTGACCCTTTCATTATATTCTTTTCCCAATTCCAACTATATACTTACTGAATGCTTTGCTTTTAACGTAAGGTTATATATAATGATTCGATATTAGTCTATTCTGATCCGATACAGTTCCTGATTCGTTCACGAATTTTCAGTGAATGTTACGAAGCTTTGTGCTTTTTTCTCGCGTCCCGGCGTTCGCTGGTCGGATGCGGTTTTAATTCTCGAACGTCTAACTGTAAATACAATTAAACAAGATTAAATATTTTGTATTAAGAAACATTACTTTTTAATATAACTCGACACTTCGGCTTTTCACTCAAGCGACATTTTCTTAACGTAGTAACAGACATATCTTACTGCGCCGACATTAAAGTAAATTTATTTTTTGATATGATTTAGTTTTTTGATATATCAATTAACTAAAATTTTATTTTGCTCAATGAATTGAGCTCTTTGATGAATCAAAGAGGAGATATTTGAGGTCAATATGGCCAGTGCGACAAAACGCCAACTTCATGTTCCCAATATTTTATTAATGAGACATGTAGGGGGGGGGTTTATGGGGTTGGCGCCTTTGTCCCCCGGCCGCCATGTTGGAAAAAGGGGTGAAAGCACGTTTTTGGTTTTTTACATAAAATTTGAATGGACACATTTTGTAGTAAATCGCTGTGCTTACAATTATGTCTATTTGACTTTTTATTATAAAACCAAAATTTCACAAAGTTAAAGTGCAACAATTTCCTATTTTGTTTAATAACTTTTTTCTTTACATTTTATCAAAAAACTATGTGAGAACAATTTTGTAGAGGATCTCTTTCAGAAGATGACGACATTCACGTATGGACAAATATTAAATATACAGCCCCCTACAGTTGTTTACGAATGGGTGTGTTTGATTTGTTTGAGAAGAAGTTTTCAGAGTTCTACGGGGTGCCGCGGAATACTTTGTTTGTTCCGGCTATCCTACAACATGTGTCTATGAAGGTAAATGAAGTTGGTTTACGTAGAGACACGGCACAGACGGCTAATAGGACGGTGATGTTCGATGCTTCTAGGCCCTTTTTGTATTTTGTCATTGAAAAGACTATTGATACAATTGTTTTAAGTGGAGTCTATTCGAAGCCCACGGTTTACTAAACTTTAATTGTTAATAAAGTTATATGACATTTGTTTCTTTTTATTTTCCATTATCAGTTTTCCTCAATTTACATGAAATAATGTAGATCTAATTAACGTTAATTGACAACATGAATCTCTTATCAAATAGTTGGTACCGAATTAATGGAAATTGGAATTAAATTGGGGAAAAATATGCAAAATTTGTTTTCCGCATGTAAGAACTGATATCAGATTAATTAACTAAATGTAATAGCTTAAGAATAAATATATAAAATTGGTCCGTCTGGATCAAATCAACAAACAAAATATCTCTACTAAAGGTATCATTATAGTCCATTGAAATGTTACAATTTGAGGGCCAAACTGAACATTTGATAGAGGACGCAATTTTATTTATGGGGCATGTAGGGGGTGTCAATATAAGCTTAACCCCATTTTGCAGCAAATCGCGCCTACAATTATGTCTATTTGACTTTTTATCATAAATCCAAAATTCAAAAAGTTATAAGTAAAAAAGTGAAAAAATTCCTATTTTGCTTAATAACTTTTTTTCTTTAGATTTTATCAAAAAACTGTCAGAACAATTTTGTAGAGGATCTCTTTCTGAAGATGTTCGTTCTTACTTTTATGATCTCTCGTTTATTTTAAACAAATTTTCGAAGTTATAATATTTTTTTTTATAGAAAAATCTCCTGTCGTCATCAATCCCCTACTTTTATTCCAATTAATGTTTCATTTCGAGAGAAACTGTTGGTGATATCAAACAATATCTAGCATATGAATTAGCACCATTTTTCCATAGGCATTATTCGCCGAGGATGGTATGAGAAAAGGTACCAAGTCATCATTGTTTAATGCTTTTACACCATGGGAACTGTGAAAGCATGTGCGGTTGCAGAAAAGCAGGCCTCAAATGCCCCGCAGTGTGCCTTCACTGTTCTGGAGAAACCTGTACCAAAATTATGAAAATAACAAAATTAATAGAAGAAAATGAATTTGAAGAATTGCCAACAAATACTTCAATTTTAACTCCTGTCATTCCCCACACCTTCACATTCGACGTTGAATTAGAATCTGAGTCACAACCTGGACCATCGAAGAAGAGTAAAATGGGATAACTAGCTACCCCATTCTAATAACTGATTGATAATATAATTATGTCGAAGATTACCTCATCAGCAATTTGTCTGTTTCATAGGCCTACTAGGGATACCCATAAGTAAAATTGTAGGAATTAAAAAAAATATAATAATTTCGAAACTTTGTTTAAAATAAACGAAAAATAATAAAAGTAACGTAAAAATGTTGTTTTGTCCCGCTTGTCACGAGCATTGACGAACCCGGTCAACTTTGGAGCGCTGTAACAGCGTTCACAATTAACGAAATAAAAAAAATTATAGAGGAACATCTTCAGAAAGAGATCCTCTACAAAATTGTTCTGACAAAGTTTTTTGATAAAATCTAAAGCAAAAAAGGTTATGGGAATTTTTTTCACTTTTTTACGTATAACGTTAATTAACAATTCTGATGATTTAAAATTTTTGCTTTCTTAAAAATTTAAGCGTTTTATCGTAATAAAATGAAATAGAAAATATAATATTTATGTTACATTGTACATATATATTACAACACTTAAAGATCATAAAAGATCTAATATACTTACTAATATTTCATCATCTGGTACTCTAGATAATAAATCTAAAACTTCATTGTTCGGTATTGTGTGAGGTCGTAAGATTTTTCTCGTAAACTTGTTTATGCCTGAAAACATGTACATTATTATTTCTGCTCATCATCTTTTTTTTAATCATAATGTTTTCTTCAATTTTTATATAGCTGTGGAATATTTATAGACAAAGAGAAACGTTATATGGCGGTATACTGTGCTGAGCTTCTCTACTCTCTCTTCTCAAAAAAAGTGTGGTGGAACAAAGTTCATAGTTCTAGTGTTTATTAAGGAGTGTTTATTCGCGAGCATTGTAAGGAAAATATTGCTTACCCCAAGCCATAAGTAAATATCTCAATGGTACCATATATAGCACCAACATCGCTGCAGCCAGCATTATTATCGCTAAATAACTTAGATAGGGTACTGTGAAGTTCATTAGGCTGAAAAATCAAAAATTGAAGAATTAACTGGGCAAAACAAGTACAGACCACCTACTTATACACATTTCTGAGTCTGTATTATTGATAAATTTAAAGCAAATATATGTGTGTGTATATATATCATTAGACATTAAGTTAAGTTGCTACAGAAGTACAGACAAGAAGATAGAGGGCCATGAGAGTTGCGACCGTCCACACCTTTCACAATTGGCTTGGACAGGAAGGAGTTAATTAAGAAAAAAATTATGGTTAAGTAATTTACTTTGACTAAACTAAACATCGGCTGTTGGATACAGACATAACGTAGTATAGTCTTTGTTCATTTGTTTTGTTCGTAAGCTAACCTTTGTCTGTCTTGAGTAAAGTACGAAGATGAATTAATACTTACTTTTTAACAGCCTCTCCTAAGGAAGCGACATAACCAATAGCATTTTGAACAGTTTGCGTTACTTCTTGTATAGCTTGAAGACGCTCTTTTAACGATTTCTTTTCTTCCTGTAATATAGCACGTTTGTAGTTCTCTTGTGTGCAAAGAAATGTGAATAAATAAAAATAAATTTTTGCTCGTATTAAAATATAAGTATGAATTTATATTAATTCGTAAAGCGATTTTTTTATTATGTACTATATTTAAATTTACCATATTTGAAAGTGTATTAGATATATAATCTAAACACATACACTTTACATTCAAATGTTTACAAAATCTAAACGAGGAGAAAAATATAGGTTTACCTTATCAACTTCCTCCTCATCGTCTTCTTCAGCCAATAAATCATCATCATCTACTGGAGCGAGAAGAGGATTTCCACCTAAAAATATTTTTTTTCAATTTAGTACCATAGGTAATGTTTTGTTTATACAACATCATAGATACAGATAACGACAAACCGATTATAATTATAGCCTGTTAAATTACAATATTTTGAAAATGACATTGACATCCGTCATGTTATAACTATAAGTACGAGATATATGTCATAGAGTCAAAAATATTTCTGAGTCTATTTCCTTGGTGATTAACCGTCAGGGCTAATAACTCGAAATAACTTTTTTTATACGCCACCTTCGTACACAAGTAATTCGCGAAAGCAGAAAAACAATACCCAATGTGAATAAAACAAAAAATACAAATTTAAATTAATATTTAGAACCAGTAGCCCCTTTCTGTTTAACGACAGTTAATTTCTGTAATAATCAAACACAACAAAACAGTTTTGTCTTTGATTAACATAACTTTTATCCATTTAATAAAACACTATTTTGACCGGATTGAAGTTATGTATTATTATAAATTTACAACTATTTAACATAATTTTAAATTTATTCTTCAGTCACATAATTCTTCAGTCACCGTGACCACGCACGCTGTAAAGCACGCGAAACGTCGGATAAATTTAAAATTATGTTAAATAGTTGTAAATTTATAATAATACATAACTTCAATCCGGTCAAAATAGTGTTTTATTAAACAACAGTTTTTATGTAACTCAACAAGCTATTCAATAGTGGGTTACATACAACCCCTATAAATCTTAAGATTATCATTATTTTGTGTCTGTTGAACGAAATTGTTGGCCATATTTAGTTTTGTAAGCGTAAAAAACAAATAGCATGCAGACAAAATAAAAATAAAAAACTTACTACCAGAAACGAATCTTTTTAAACACGCCCAAGGGTTTTTGTAGGTTTTTATTTGTTCTATAAAGTAATAATTTCGAAATTAGATTTGAGTTAGAACGTAACATTATCACTCGTAACATGCAATAGTTAGGATTTCGAAATTAAATAATTTATATATTTTTTTAAATTAAACGTAGCGATAATTAATAAACGTGTTGCGTTGCACTTAAATTTTATGATAGAGTAATTTCAAAAAAATTAAGTCATTCGGTGATGAGGCACGCGTATTTTAAGTTTATATTATATTTGACTACCTGGAGTCTATATGAAAAAAAAAATTTTTTGCCAAACAGTATGTACTTAACTTATAAATACGACATAAAAAAATACTACACACAATTATTATTAAATATAATTCCGTATTTTGTTTACCTAAAACACGTTTAAAAATACATAAAACACCTTAAATTAAATTTCTCTTAGAGCTGTTTAAACTGTTATTTACCTGTTAATCGGTATATCAGCCAGTTCCTCGCGAAGAATAAGAGTAGAAACAATGGTACCATCCACATTTCGTAATAGTAGCAAAAGGCGAGCCACGCTAGAAGGCCAATGAAGGAGCAAATTCGCGATTCCCATTCGAAGCAGTCTCTGAAAGTCAAAACGGCTGAATGAGATTTTCCCGAAATCACCCACCAACATCACGACATAGTTAACGTACCTAATCTTAATATTATATATAAATAACGCGTCAGGTTGTTTGTCCGCTATGGACTCCTAAACTACTTAACCGATTTCAATCAAATTTGCACACCGTGTGCAGTTGGATCTAACTTAAAAGATAGGATACATCTTTAATTTATACCCGCAATATTATTTTATTGCAAAATATTTGTTCATTATTTGATAGTCACCATTCTAACAGATGGCGCTGTGTTGAAAGTACCAACGTTTCACATAAGCTACAATTTAATGGCATAACCACCAAAAAAGCATGGTGGTCCCCATGACTGGTGTTTCCTACCGTTTCCCTTGAATAGTTTACTACTATGTAATAAAACAAAAACCTTAGCCATAGCAACGCTTGGCCGGTCTGCTAGTAAAATAATAATAATTTTTAAATAGACAATTGCGAATCGTCGTATTTGAAACTAAAAAATGTTAAACTATACACTGTTCGCTTTCGAGTAGTATTGGTAAAATATATACTAGACTAGTTCTATTTCGTTTCGTTCTATTCGTTCTCGGCCTAAAACTGACCTTATTGTCATATATATGCTATATGCAAACGGGCAGGAGGCTCATCTGATTTAAGTGATACCGCCGCCCATGGACACTCTCAGTGCCAGGGGGCTTGCCGGACATTTAAGAATTGCTACGCTCTTTTCTTTTTTATAAAGGACCCTAAGTCGAATTGGTTCGGTTACTTCAGTGGGCAGTGGAACCATCCACATAGTGCTGGTGGAAAGACGGACGTCGATATTATCATAATGTGTAAAAAATTACAATTATTTACTTTTAGTTTTAAATTGACAAAGGTTCTTTTAATAATAAGCTTGTTAATATATAGCATATATTCTAAACGTGTGATCAGCCTCTAGGAGGCGATTTATACTTCATTTATCCATTATAAAAATTAACTTACTGTAATATTTTTCCAATTTCAATAAACCACATTATAATAGCTTTGAGCCGCATTACGTTTCTTATAAATAATTGTCGTTTGAATTTGGCTTCTTGGTGCATGTATTTAGGCTCTTTTGGATTTAGGACTCTTATGGCTGCTTTTAACTGAAAAAAAAAATATAGTTCAATATGAATTTAAGTAGATATAATTCTGGAGGTTATATATTATATATATAGGTTCGTTTCTGACGTACTAACCATTCAACCCAAATAAAATAATTTTACTTATGAATGAAAATTTTAATATCTTGAGTTACTAATGTATAAACTCCCTCAATCCTCAACACATGATGAAGACATATTTCTGGGTCCATTTACTTGTTCATATATTCCAGACAGACATCATCCATTTTAAGGTCTAAAGAGCACAGTTCGAGCGCACTCAGAGTTGAGAATGACAAGCAAAGTAGATAGAAAAAAAATATAGTTTAATCTCACCGGATTCCATATCACCGACATCTCTAAAAGTATTTGTGGAAAATTTCCCTTCGCTCTCCCCCGCATTTTCTTGTCTTTCAACGCGAACCATCGTTTCTCCCCATTTCGTATGTTTAATACTGGTATTGCCAGTTTACCCAAAAACTCGACTTTGTGGTCATGGTCTTCATCGTAAACCGTTATTTCTAAAATCGAACTCATGTCCTTGACTGTACTGAAAACAAAAGACTAAATTACATATAATACTTTTGTAACCAGGAACAAATGCCTCACTGAAACCATTTTTAAATATAAGAACTTATACTTTTTGTAAAGTTAGTGAAAAAGTCTAAGAAAAATACTTTAAAAGTATCACATATTTAAATCGTGTTGAAAAGTTTTGCTATGTAAAACATAAACAGTGTTGGCCTAGTGGGATCAGCGTCTAGGGCTGGGGTGATTTTACTGGGTGGGGTCTCGCTACCCTTCTGAATAACAGAGGGATTTGAGCGTAGTCCCAACCCCACAGTGCCCGCGTCAAGCTCGACATCCATGGCGCGGGCCTGCGTTAGCGCATTTTCACGTCATTAAAAAAAGAAAAAAAAAGTGGGATCAGCGTGCGACTCTCATTCCTGAAGTCGTGTGTTCGATATCCGTCTCTGCGCCAATGGAATTTCTGTCCTACGATCCCACGATGATCCCACATTGTGAGGAAACCAGCATGCCTAAGCTTCAAAAAAGTCGACGGCGTGTGCACAGAAGTCTGATCATCTACTTGCCTATAAAAAGCAATTATAAACGAAACAGATATAGAAATTTGAGGCCCAGAACTAAAAATGTTGTTGCGCCACTGATTTTTAAGTGTGTAAACATTACCTTTAAATGTGTTATAACTACACCATTACTTACAATGTAAAGATCTTCATCCAATTCGGGGTCAAAGTCTTATATTCTGTGTGGGTTTGCAGTCTGGCATTTCCGAGTTCTACAACGCAGAATGGGTCAGATTTACCCCCTAAATCGGCTGCAGCCAGACCCTTAGCCCCGTAAACTTTAACGCAGAGCCAACCAACACCGCTAGAGTGTTCATTAAGACGGAACCACGCCTAAAAATTGAACACAAAACCACGTAAGTCTATGTGGGTTATTAATTCAAATGTATTTTTTAATAGTCTGTACAGGTTAATACAGTAACTTCACATCTAATCATATCATAAATTAATAGTGTACCTAATAAATAAAAGGTCAATGTAGTAAGGTATAAATGGCGCCAAAGGCATAAAGCGTGCGTTGTCACAGATAAGTAAAGTTGCAATATTTCATACAAAATATTTAAATAAATTTTCGCGCCCTAGCATACTTGAAATTCCTTGGTGACACACTTCGCGAAAATATTGTTTGTATAACAGTAAACATTATGTAATAATAGTTTCCATATTCTACGACACATGTGGTATAATACCTGTCTATGAACAAGTTCGATATTCGCTTCTCAAGGAAAACTTTTTCGACTCTGCTCTGAGAAGCAGTGTCAAACATTCAACGCATACACGAGCGATACGTAACCTACTTCGGACATTGCGCGCAAATAATGTACCTATAGGGAAAATGGACAACCCCATACATTGTTCCGCGCCTTGTTAATTTCTCTCAAATCCTTAAATATATAATTGTCTAGACATTTCTAAAAACAATTCGTATACAATATTTATCTATATTATAGTCACTACTAAATATATAATTTATGAACATTCGTCTACACACAAAGATACCACTTCACATACAGTACTAATAAAAATGTGAATTATAACAGACTGACTATAAAATAATACATTAAAATTTTTAGAAATAGATGAATAATTTGTCTCAAACAGTATAAGATACTCACATATCTTTTTTCAATATTTAAAATATCTCTAGGATTTTCTTTGTACGTCGCTAAGTCTGTAATGGTCTCGGATTGGGTAGTGCCACTTATGGTAAGAAGAAGAAAAATCTGTCCATTTCCATCTTCCAAGTCCTTCCGTATATTGTGCGTTTTCTCTCTTTCTAACTTTGATAAGTCTATTGTACATCTATAAACAATATGGTTTATAATATTAAGCAATTATAAGAAGCGGTAATGAGTACGTAGTACACAAGTAATTTTTAGCCCGCTCTTGTCATACAATCTTTTAATGAGGTTTTAATCCAACATCATTCAGTTCGCTCGTTATGTTTAATGAATGTTCGATGAACTTCTTAGGAATTTAATAAATCTAGTAATATAATATTAACCTAAATGAATGGTGGTGATCGTAAAGGTAATAAAGAATTTAAAATCGGCAATTTCAATCCGCTAATAAAAGTTTAGGGTAGTTCAAGCTTTAAAAGCGTTACATTCAGATTTTAAAAATTCATTTTTTACTGTCAATCTCTTTCTGAAAAACACAGCGTATCAAGACTTACTTCGGCATATACACGATAGAGATTTTATACCACAACGCTTCCCTTCTCTTTTTATAGACTTCTTCATTTTTCTTGCGCAAAAAAAAGCGTCAAAAAACAGAATCCTTTCTTACCGCCCCAAAAAATCGTCTTTCGTTTGTTTGTCCTTATCCCAAACCGTCACCTCCAATATTTGCTCTTGGTCGTCATAAAGGTGCAGGTCAAATTGCTCCAGCCACGAGGGATGCAACGATTTCCAGACCACTTTACTCTTGTATTTTTCGTTGCCTAACCTGAAAGAGAGATACTTTATCAAATTTTTATGATACGTAGGTAATAAGGTCACCGCGGTTCGCTAGGGCGATGAATAAAAAATTAAGCTCTCTTTTCAGAGAGATCTTGATATTCATTCTATACCGAAATTCATAAAATACGGCCACATGGCGACATATCTCAAATTTGTTTCAAATTTGAGCTAATCATAGGAGCAGTGAGCTCGCTCCGTGATGCCTGTGAAATGCCCAGGAAACTTCTGAGCTTCTAGAAGGAGCTGGCTTAATTAGCCATGACTTAACGCACAACGGACCAAATGCTACATTAAAGCCAACTAGATAACTTAATGTTTTTCAAACTTAACCGTCTTTTGTTGCCTGTGATAGAATCCTTGGTTTACTACTTCGTCATTACTATAATTTAGGGAACGTTCAACGTTACGCAATTTTTGGAGATTATTGACCCCCCCCATGTAACGCGCCGAAACGTTTTTCTGTACCCAAGTATAGTAAAACGTTTCGTGACCACCTAGTGACTCTTTATACCTAAAAGTTACCATTATGTGGTGTAAAGTACTGGAAAGTCGAAAATAATATTAACAATAATGCGTAATTCAATCCCCGCCCCGCATCGTAAGGTTTTACAAAAGGACCTCCCCAAAATTCGTTACGTAATACTTGAACGCTCCCTTACTACAAGAATAATATATATTCGTGCTTCCATAATATTTTTTTACTAACTAATAAACTAATTGAGAAAAGATTTCGTAAAAATAAAAACCTACATATAAAACACCTTACCTAAACTTGCAGTAAGGATCACTGGATCTCGTGTCTATGTCCATCGCGGGAAGATTCTTGGCTTCCACCAGGACAATGGTGACCACAGAACTCCATATTTGCGCTTTTAATCTTTTGTTCACGTCACTTAGCCGCGTGTTTTTTAAAAGATACTGAAACAATAAATTGACTACGTAAAAACCAGGTACTTTTAAATGTTTAGTCACTAAAATAAAACTTTAGTGGCAAAAGCCCTTGTCGTTTACATAGTTAACTAATACCCATATGATTTATGAATAATAAATAAAAATATAAGGAAATTGATTAGGAATATATTTTCCCTTGGTACAAGGAAAAATAGCGAAGACAATTAGGCGACTACGATAGTAAATATGTAACAAAATGTAGCAATTCGTAGTAACGTTATGCTCTGAATAAAACGATCCACGACTGTTACGTAACATTTGTTTTGTTAACTTTACGATTCACAATACTTTGCTGTATTTGTCCCGTACACATCAAAGGGTCAAACACTTTTCAGTATCTGCTTCAATGACACATTATAGGCATAAATTCAAATCATCTTCTGAAAAAAAAATATTGTGTCGCCGGGTCTAATATGCTATGCGTTTTAATGAATTTACAAAATTGGATTAAACATGGCATTATTTTCGTTACATCGCTATAGTATTACTATACAAACACTTCATTACATATTAAAAACCACACATATTTTAGTATATTAGATCACAGCTATATAAAAAAACATTGGCGCTATAATCTAGGTCTGGGCCTCAGATTTCTGTATCTGTTTCTTGATTATTTGATTTTTAATAGGCAAGTTGATGATCATCCTTCTGTGCCTGACACAAGCCGTCGCCTTTTTTTAGGTCTAAGCTATACCGGTTTCCTAAAGATGTTTTCCTTTGACGTACGTGCGAGTGTTAAATGCGCACATAGACAGAAAATCCTTTCATGAAAAGCCGGGTTCGAACCTACGTAAGGTTAGATCAGAGATGAATGAAACCACTTGTCTCACACAGCTCAGTTATATAAAACGTAAGATTTTTATTTTGCGTTGTAGTTAAAGCGACAAGCAATAATTAAGACATAAACTATAGAATATATACACCCAAAATCCAATTATATTAGTAATGTTAGTCCACCACTCATAAATCAAATAGTACCCTATGTATTCTATCGCCTCGATTCTTAAGACGGGGGAATCGATTTCCGATTTTCTCAATAAAATCTGTGCAGGTGTTTATAGCAAAGGCTATATCTGAATTTTGTCCTGGTAGGCTGCCGGCTCTCGGTCTTATTTCGGTGGTTCTGGAAATTTTTATACTCAATTATTTAATAATTTTGAATTTATTTATATTGTAATTTATATGTTGTGATGTGAATAAAATTTCCTAAAGAAACCGATAGTTTTTTTTAAGTTGTAGATATATTTATTGTTAAAGGAAACTTTTCTTTTTTTATCTAAAACTCTAGAAAGCAACCAAAATATACTCAAAATAAGACACGACAAGATCTTACTTTTAATACTGCAAGAACGATTTTAACTAAGCCTTAAACAAATAATGACGTCAAACAGAACCTATGATAACAGATAACCATGACATTAACCGTAAAAGATAAAGTCATCGATCGAACATTTTTCATTATACGTACTACGACTGTAAATGGGATAATTGACAAGATTTAAAAAATCATTTAGGACTATAGAACCTACGCAAATTGGTTACTTTTAATTCAGCTTTAATAATTCAAATTAAACATTCATAATTTCTAGAACCCGCCATAACGCTTATCTACGCAAGATCGTCGCATCGCACCATTACCATGCTAGTAAACACGTAAACAAACGTCAAGTTTTTACGTGTAAATTATCACTCTTAGTTTGTTTAGTTTTTGATGAAAAACAGTGTCCGTCGAAATTAAACACAACAAGAGACAGGCGAATAACTGGTATTTCATCGTCGATTTGACTTATCTGTGACCTTAGCTTGATGATCTGTGACCGTTTTGTGTCACGTGACTAGCCTAAAAAATATATATTTTTGCTTCTTAAGGCTTTTTGAACCATTTATAAAGATTTCTTTATTTTTGATAATCTTGAATAGCCCATTTTGGTATTTTATCTGAATCTTTTATTAGACGTTATAACTTCTTACGTTACTGTGTGTATTTCTAGTAAGAAAATGTATCATTCTCGGTTTTTACTGTATTCATACTTCAATTAACTATTTATTTTTTACTGTAGGTAGTAACGATAAACTTAATATGAATATATTAATGTTCAATCAGCTATATTAAACCTTTCATGTGAAAAAATAATTAGTGCAAAATCACTACAAAACAATTTAGTTATATATTATAAAAATAAATGTAATACAGATCAAAACGAACGAACAGAAAAAAAATTCACAACAAGCTGCAAAAAACACTTACCGCTCATCACTAGAATCCAAACAAGAGAAACAAGATTCACTAGAACTATGAAAACTGGAATCATCTTCCAAATTTAAATTTGTAGCCGATCGACATCTCCTATACAAAAACCCGTGCTTTTCCACAGTCAAAAAGTCATTGCAAATATCTTTAGGGTCTGCATTAACACTAGGTTCGTCTATAATCACAGATGGAATACTCTCTGAGGTTTGACTATATTTAGAATCTATGGATGACTTGCTTATACTATCTTTATCCGTGGCATCCTCAATAGAACTTCTTTCTTCAGACAAGTGAGAGACGAATTTTGATAGTTTTGATTTCTCTATTTTATTTTGCACTTGGTCTGTTATATCTTCAACTCGATCGAGTATTTTCTCTTGAAGTCTTATAATACGATTCTTGAATCGTTCCATTTTGTGCTCAGGTTCGGACATTTCGTTTTCCAAAGCTAGTTTTAAACTTCAAACGCTTTTATTTTTAACTGGGATACATAGTTTATTTATTCCTTAGATTCGAGAAACTAACTCCAGGTATGTTTATATTCGGGATATTTGTAAACTTTCCTTTTTCTAGGTAGAAAACAGCACATTAAAGAAATAAAAAATATATCTTACAATAATTTTAACGGGAATAGTTATTCCAGTTCTTATGAATTGAGAAACAAGGTATAAATTTGTGAAAGATATTAAACTCGACTTCTGCCGACTTCGGCTGTATTTCACGAACGAGGAAAACCAATGTATTCACGGGTCGTAAATTGCAAAGCTTGTACACGTTTATACGAGGAATAGCATAGGTGTGTTGTTTCAATCAACATTATATTGATTTTCAGACATTTCAATGCCGAAATGAAAATTACATTACTACCTAATTTGACTACAGCTTAAGAATGAAATGTACTGGATGGAGAGATTTTGATACACGAACAAGTACATAACATGATCTAAAAAGCTGGAAGAAAACTATTGAAGAGTCTTGAGACAGTAAATGTAATGTTAACTTCATTATGGAAATAAAGGCATATTATTTTTGGAGTTTACTCCTTAAGAAACTATTTGAGTTATAAGGCCCGGTACGGAAATTTTATGAGGAGTAAAATCAAGTGTAACACGAAAAGTTGAGGCGTTATGTAGTAAGAGACAAACATATAGAGTTTACTCCTTAAGAAACGATTTGAGTTATAAGGCCCGGTACGGAAATTTTATGAGGAGTAAATCAAGTGTAACACGAAAAGTTGAGGCGTTATGTAGTAAGAGACAAACATATAGAGTTTACTCCTTAAGAAACGATTTGAGTTATAAGGCCCGGTACGGAAATTTTATGAGGAGTAAATCAAGTGTAACACGAAAAGTTGAGGCGTTATGTAGAAAGAGACAAACATATATATATCTGTAGGATTGAACGTGTAAAAGAATGAGATGGAATACATTACACAGACTTTTCTATTTTGAATTCACGTTTTGACATCCACGTTACAACATTGTCATTTGTCAGTGTTGACAGGTGTAAAAAATAAAAGTAGATTGTCTAGCGTGCCATAGAGTTTTGTCAATAGTAATGGTCAGTGAAATTAAAACTAAATTAAAAGATTGTTCATTCTTATTCTTCTCTTACTATAAAGGTAACTTTGGTCACAGAAAGAAAATCCTATTTGGGCATAGATGATGTAGGTACGTTTTATTACTACTACAAACATTTATATTATAAAAAACATATATTCTTACCACCTTTAGTATGAAAATATGGTCGACAGCCACAGAACATTATCGCCCTTTTTATCGTTCGTAAGGAGTAAACTCCAATCGTGCGTCGTAGCTGACAAACACACACTTATTTTTTTGTTTTATTTGTTATTTGTCAATTCACTTTCCAACATTTAGCGCTAAGTTTCAATTCTGAATCTGAGGGTTAGGTAGCACTTTTTTCAATATATAGACGCAAAATACCACATTTCTTTGCTCTTGTACAGGTTTTAATATCAATTGAGGAAGGTGGGCAGGTAGCTTTTATGAATTTCTTTGAACCATGACTATCTATATCCTCCGGTTCCTGACCAGCGCCTCTCTTATGAATGTGTAGAGTTTTGAAGACGATGAGTCTCACTAGAGCTTGAACTTGATTTCACTTTTAACAATTTTATATGATTTAAATGCAGGGTGTATGGATTTTCCATTTAAACAATCGTTTCTGAGTATGAACATATATTAAATCGTGGGAAATACAAGAAAAGGCTTATATTTATTTATTTAACATAGAATGACAAACTGTGAGTTCTATGTTATCTGTGATCAAAAATACCGCATTTACAAGGACAGTCCATAATAGTTATTTACACGACATCCCTATACAATCACACATTTTCGTGATAAATCCACAAGTTTGAAATAGATTCAAAATTGACAATGTTTCGAATGTTTGGAACAATAGGTGCCGAACGAAACACACATTGAAAATTTACGATGACTATTCGTAGCATATACACAGAACAGTTAGGGTAAAGTGTCATGAAATATCTAAAATGTATTGAATTTGCCACGACAGTCGTACCTAGCGCTAAGTTTAGAGTGGTTTAGAGTCGACCATTAAATTATGTGTACTGGTATATGATTAGCCTGCTTATACTGAAGTACTTTTATTTTTAAATTGAATTGAGTTATATAGGACGTGGCGTAGTTCGGAAGGCGTTCTCAACATTTTCCAATGATTTCTGTCACGCGCTGCTCATCACAGCTGTTCTGCATCAGGTGATTTGATTTTTAAAGGAGCCTTTATAACCCCGGTGAGATTTAAGATTTCGGGATTTACTACAGCGTGGCAGATTAATATACAGGGGGATAACTTGTACCTGGTTAAGTACCTCTACCAAATATGAGCCCCATATTAATTACATGTAAGAAGTGTATATTTCGCTAATCTGCAAAAGGGGGAGGGCTGCAAAGTTGTAAAAAAAAAACATCATCTGGACATTCTCGAGCGTGGCTGATTTATTTTTTTATGTGATTTTAAATTTTATGTTATGGAATTATGATTTTTTTATATTTTTTTATTTAAATATTATACATAATAGTATAGTTCAGATTGAGGCTTCTCGCTATCTAGTAGATAAGTCGAAAACCTGTGACAGGGGAAGCTTCGCTCTTTTTTAATTAACATGTTTTAATGAATAGCGTTTCATGTACTTAATTGTATATTTAACTTAACATTACTAAGTTAATTACTATAGAAATATAAAGATAATATTAGAATTACAAGTATTGCAAGACAATCACTAGTGTACCTTTATATAATATGTGTGCTTTCTTTGTGTTAACTATACTATTTAGTCGACTAAACTATTCATAGAAAAGAAACAAAATTAATAACACAATTAGTTTTAAAACAATGGTAGGATGAGCGAATAATGTATTGATTACGTGCAAAGATGGTCTTACAGATTACGTAGCTAATTTTATTAGAGTCCTTTGGGGCATGGGATGGGTCAGGACGATGTATTTAATATAACATTTGCATGACCATTATAATATGGCTGATTGTGAGAGTGCGACCTATTTTATATTCAAATTAAAACTTATTTCTAGATTCGAGATTAACCGTATTTGAGCTTTCCTATCAGCTATCCGGTACTGAAGTGCTTTTTGCATCTGGTTATCGTAGCGCAGTTATTTATTTCTAGTTTATATTGGTAAGATTTTAATCATTTCAACTTATCATTCAAAATTACGTGCCAAACGTGTCAAACAGACATTTTTTTATTTATAATTAATACAATGTTATCGTACGGATAGTTTGGACACAAGCCAAAGACTTGAAACATTTCAAGTACGCACATTGTTTTCGTATTTGTATTTTGCTCTTTTCGTTGCAAGAAGGTAAAAATTAAAAAAAAAACAAGCAGTATATTAAATAACAAGACGTTTTACCCACCTACTATTGAGTAGCGCCCAAAATTTATTAGTTAGTATGGGGCAAACAATTCATAGTACATACTACAAATCCCTATTCAAGACTTTAAAAATATAAAACGAAAATCTATGGCGTACCGAGAAGGCTTACTATGAAGTCAGGTATGCAATGCATTACGTGTATTTTCCGTAAACAATTTTTATGTTAATGAATTTCACGTGCCATACCTATTAGCACACGTTTAGATAAATTACCTAACAATTAATATCTTCGGTTTAAATAGTTTAAATGATTACGAGGTAGAGCAACAACATACAAATTTGCTTGTGGCTGTTCTTTTATGTATTTTTTTTTTAATTCTTTATAAATTATACGCTAACAAAAATGTATCTAAATCAGTTCAAGGGACTACGTCTTCCAAGTAAAAGGATTAGGCGTTGCAATTCATATATTAAGTAAAATATTCGGTACCTAACAGATATTTAAACTATCATATCCATAAAGACATCAAACTATTATATTTTACAATTTATATTTTCCAATAAATTATAATAGTTCAGCATGGAGCTAACGCCCTCTTTATTGCATTACGGAATAGATCTTTAATAGAAAAATGTTTTTAAATTTAATAAACGAGAGAAAAATTCTTAATAATTTTTTAAGAATACGGAAATATTAAGAAGTGTTCCTTATCATTAGTTTGGGGCTAGGATATTATTTTTACAGTCTTTGGGAAGTCTAGATAAAGCACTGTATTTATCTTAGTATGGGAACAAGTCGGTTCGTTTAGTAGTCATGATTCTGTATTAAAAAAATTGTTCTAATCTGCGTTCATATTATACTTCAACGGATATATGTAGTTATGTTTAGACAGGTTAGTCACACTTATCTGGCAATACGCAAGCCGAGACATCCTTAACGATAGGTCCAACTTCTGCCGACTAAAGAAAATGAATATAATTTATAAATAATGAATGATTTTATACAAAATCAATAAAATTACCTTATTAACACTGTTATATTTATTATTTGGACGTACGTAATTTTAATTTATTAACGTTCAAGTCTTATTGTATGTGTATTACTTGCATGCTACGGTCAAATAAATTGTAATATATTTAATGTGTATAAAACTAGATTAAAAAGAGCATAATTTTCTACACTCATATAATCTCAGCAGTTAATCTTTGGATTGGATATACTAAAAAGTTATAAAGAAAAACATTGCGAAGTATAGCTTATACTATTAAAACCCGGTCGGCATTTTAAAAGGCATGCTATCAATAAGTTGTACCTAGACAATTATGTGCATAATTATAGACGTTCATACGTGCTTATAAATCGAATTGTCTATCTATTATCTATACGCATTTGTTGTTTTATGTTGCAAGAGAATAATAAAAAATACAACAATAAAAAAGAAAGTAGAACCAAACCGGTATTGGTCAAAATTTAAAAATAAAATTTATGAGGAGATTAAGGCAAGATATAAGTACTTTAGTAAAAATGTATAGTTAAATTTAAGAATGATAGTCGTTTGCCTGTATGATAGTCATTCCTAATGTCAAACTAATAGTATATAGGTACCAAACCACAACATATAATAGTATTGAACCAACTGTCGTAAAGTTTGAAACTAATCCTTTCTCCGTAAGATCTCAAAAGACCTTTAAGGTCATTTCAAAAATGTTCGTTAGTTGAACTCAAATCGCTTAGGTATGGTACAAACTTTAAACGAAGGTTTTTAAAAATAACTAGAAAACCATAGCACATGCGTTGTATCACTCACTGTTTATTTGTTTTACAAATTTAGGTTAGGTCATATCTTGCACGAATTACTCGTATATACGCGCGCACGCGTGCGCGGTTTCTGCACGACTGATTTGAAAATTGAATTTTGAAATTAGAAGAATGTAACTTTATTCTTTACTTTTGTGTTTCGCAAAGCGCTTTAATTGTCGTTGGATTAATGTATTCCTGGCTATTAAAAGGGGAGGTTATAGTTATTTGTTTATCTTATTCTGTAATGGTAATTTTTAAAAGTTCTATATGAAAGATAACATAGTTTTACAAAACGCATTTGCCTTATTAAAAATTGTGAAAGCATCTAAGGGTCTAAATAAATATTATTTATTACTTTTAGTTGGATTAGCTTCATACATTATGATTATTATAAATGGTAAACTGCTACTTACATAAACACCATTATGACGTCGTAATTGCGAGCGAGTTGGTGTTTGTCTTAATTTGCAATGCATAGTAGATACTTAGGTCCCATATATATATATTTACAATGTTCCAAACATTTAGGTGGCTTGGAAGATCTATAGTAGATATAGTACCTACCTAGCAAGTATCTGGGGTCCAATATAATATGTAGGACATGGGCCAAGTTTCTTTTATTAACATTGACGTTTGACCTATGTGATAAAATATGCCATACGTCTTTTCCTGGTTCAATTTATAGTTTGATTTCTATTATTATGAATGTTTTTTTTATACCTAGGAACCGGAGTTTAAACGGACAGGCTAACTATTAAAGCTTTCATAATATGACATAGTAAGATATATGGTAATCCAACTAACCACAACGACTAATAATTCGGTCGGTACCTGTTTTAACTTCTAAGACTTATTTTTTTTTTGGTTCTAGTAAGACGAGAGTTTCTAGTAATGACTACATACCTGATCTTTGTCCTCCTGTGACTTAGGGTACAAGGTGACATTCATCACGATCTCCCCCATATCCTGGTTGAGCTTGTTGGGGTCTCGCAAACACAGCACCAAGTCTTGTGATCTTCCAAGCTCCAGAGCGGTTAAATCTAGATAACAGGAGCCCATAAAGTCGTCTTGTAAGCCCCAGTCATAGTCGAAGACCTGAAAACGTTATACATTTAATAATAATGAGTTTTTGTTAAACAATTAATGTTCGCGATATTGTTCCGGCAATACATAACACAACATTTTGCTATGCAATTTTTAACAGGCGAATGGCTCATTAATTAGGTTTTAATGCTTACAATCTTTTAGGAACGTGCAAAAAAGGTGCTTCTTGGTAAGAGATTCGTAAGAAACGAAGCGAAATTGTAGCTCCGATACCAAAATTTGTTTGGAGATTAGAGTCTGTAGACAGACAAAAACTTTTTTGTTCTATTAATGTAAATCGCTCACAGTTATTTTTTAATGGTTTTAATGTACAAACACGTGACTTGTACTTCTTTATTATATGCATAGAGGGATAATACGAGTATATAGTATTGTGTTTTATTGACATAACTTTTACACATTTAATAAAACAATTTTTAACCGGATTGAAGTTATGTATTTACAAATATCTTTTTTTATAGAGAACACCGTGAGCCATTTCTGCCAAAATCCTCCATCTTTTAGTCGATACCAACTCCGGGGAAATAAATACAGATAATACAACTTTTTCTACAGCTGTGATACTTTTTGACATTCAACACCTTTTGTCTTCAGTCACCGTGACCACGCACGCTGTTAAGCACGCGAAACGTCGGTTAAAAATTATGAAAAATAATTGTAAATACATAACTTCAATCCGGTTAAAAATTGTTTTATTAAATATGAGTAAAATGATATCAAAAACAATTAACAAACAGTGGAGAATTACACTCTATAGATGTTGGTTAAAAATAAGCCTCGTTATTCATAAAAACTAAATCCGTCTAATTCCATTATTTTAACACGTCGTTCATCTCTTCCTGTCAAATTATATTTATTCTGCGATGAAAAGATACAAGATTTGTAGATTTTATGAAGGATAACATATTTTAGCCTCGCCAGCCTCAATTGCGTAAATATTTTAGCGTTACTAAAAGCTTTACTTTGATATTAACTGTTATATTAATTCCTATATTCAGTAAAGACGCAGATGTGTTCCGCTAACAGCTACTTTAACAAAAGACATTAAAAACAAAACTTTTATAACGGTAATGTACTGCCTTTTTGCTTGTAAATAATAGCACTTGAGTACCAAGTGGGTGCTAAGAATGTAAAACGAAAGACGCAAGACGAAACGATACGTTCGTATTATTTAATTGTAATTAATTATTTGCATGCAATCAAAAACTATTTTTAATAATGCCAAAGAAGTATAACTTCTGACGCGCGTACATAAGTACACGCACCCTTTTTTCTTCTCTATTTTGAAAGTGTAGTATTGTTTGTATGTTTTATTTTCACCGTAAGTGTCATGTACCTTTTAGAATAGATAAATTGTAACGGATACTGTAGAAATATATATTATATATGATGTGGTGTACTTTAATAAACAAATTAATACATTCACACCCACCCGATCAATCTTCTAACTGTTCGCTTAATTTGTTTTATTTCTTCGAAATTCAAAATCGTGGTCATAACAGGTACCTGATAATTCATTGATCAATTGATAGTTTACGAGTATATCAATTGATCAATGAATTATCAGACCCTCTTTGTCTACCTAGTGATATTAAGACATGTCTTTTGTTCTGTTGATTATTATTGAAGTCTCATAGTCCAGAATAATATTTAAAATGTGAAAAAAGGTTTTTAATAACGTTAGTTGAAATTTACCTACTATATATGGTACAATAAAAACGTCTTTAGAGACATTTTGTCAGCCAGCTCATGAATCTAAATTGCGTATGTATTCAAGTTGAAATATCGACCTACTTTCATACAGAACGAGAAAATACTGGCATTTCCATACATGAGTTATAAATCATTCCTTATGTTAATTACCTACATTTATTTTCAAGATTGTTCAGTTACTAAATATATTATAATAAATTAATGTATGTTTGTTTTTTTAAAATTTATTGTTTAGTGTAGATATACGCATATTATAAAGAGGAGAGATTTGATAGTTTGCATGATTGAATTAAATTGGTTCCAACTACTGGCCTTTTTGAAAAATCTTCTAACCTTAGAATTTCTCTTCATTAACAGAGGCTAGAGAATGTTTTTAGAAATCCCTATGAAAACTACTATAAGGTAACCCAAGATGTGAAAAATATACCAAAAACATATACCTATATCACGTACGCTTCGTAACCTATTGATAATAGAGGAAAGAGATGTACTACAGTCTTATCGAAGACATCATTATCTACGAAAATTTTCTCGATACTCGATATATGTCTAGTTATTACGTTACGTTATGTCGTTACGCTTAAGACTGTATCAGTCAATTTCTTTTTTAATTATTGAAATCGGACATACGATTCATAAGTTATAATGAGTGCTAATTATCAAAAATTAATATAAGTTAAGTTACTCTATATCGGAGAATAAAAACGAAAAAATTGGATAATCCTGTTTCTGTAGTGTTAATGGGTGTAGTACGAAATATAGTGATTCCAGTATACGAAATTACGACTAAATTTAATACATATAATTTTGTGTAATATATTTACCGCAGTAATAAAGTCTCTTCGTTTTATTAAGTTTATTTTTTGCTTAATCTATGTTAAATAGAACATTTATTAAATTCTGGCCTTTGAAAAAAGTAGTATAAAATTAACTTGCCTTCAACTGAACAGGCTGGAATGGATCTTCAATAGGTACCGTGAAGCATTCGTCCCAGACTGGGTTCAGGTCCCGGTAAACAATTCTTGACTTGTGAAGCAGCCTCCCTCCCGCTTTGAACTTGACGTAGGGGTCACTTGTGCCTGACAACAAACCTGGTTTTCCACAACCACCACATTTTGTTAGAAAATAAGCGAAAATTAATATAACAATGATAGGAAAGGGGATGATTTATGACTCCATTTTAAACTTTGTTTATAATCCTGATTTTATTTATCCTGGCCATGCCTATACTAAGTATGTTAATATTTTAAGGTTTAACATATAACTACTATATCATAAGAATAATAACAATAATCAAACCCTGTGAACGAGCGTCTAAGAAATTATGTATTACTTTTCAAATTCAAAAATCATTTATTCATATAGATAACAAAATGTACACTTATGAACGTCAAAAATTAAATATGTATGAAACGCTTCTAATTTTACATTTACTGCCAGTTCTCAAATCAAGATCGTAGAACGGAAGAGAAGAATTAGCAATAAACTCTCCGCCACTCTTTTTATTCGCCAAGTATTTTGTTTTATACAATGTTTGTATGGAGCTGCAAACATTACACCGTGTTCCACGTGACATCTTAAGTTATTAGTAATAATAAAATAAATTAAAACAAAAATTTGTCCTCTATCAGCAGGAGGCATGGTGAAATAGGAGCACGCACTTACATTCTCATGGGAACAACTCGCAAATACATTGTCGACATAACTAACATTCCAGTATTCATTAGTCACACAATACGTGTCACATCGATGCGACCTACCTGCACTTTTGTAAAAAATATTGTACAATACAGCAACTAAATTTTTTATTTTATAAAGCTTATTTTTAAATAATTTCATAACACCGTGTACATTACTAACCTACTCTAAAATTTCTCACCAAGTGAATGTAATTCTTTTAGAAATAAAGTATCTTTGAACCGAACCGAACCTGACTCCCCCACAGCCTTATTGAGACTGGCCTAGATGGCCAAGGGAGATTTAATTATAGCATAACCTTTACGGAGATCAGCGCAGGTACTTTTTGACTTCCAGATCCTTGACACATTATATCCGGTTATTGATTGTGCCAGATTTTTGTATCGCAAGAACCCAAGGTTGTGGCATGAGTGCTTCCGATATTTAGAGAACTGAAATTTCATACGAAGACGTTGGGATCGGTATCTCTATTGCTATTAGAAGATACATTACAAGCAAAGGGCTTCTTACCGTGTTAATTTGAGGCACGAGGGTGTTCAAACACCCCCAGGTTTCAACTTGAACTTTTTAGGGCTACAATTAAAATGTTTCTGGTTAGAAAAATACGAGGTAATTAGTTCAGGTTTCGTACTGTATTCAATACCTGTTTACTTTTTATATATTTTATACTTATTAATTTTAAATAAACAAGCTAGCTAGGAAGGAAAGTTAGCTACAACAATATATCATTATTAGCTTTGTTGTATTAACGTCGACAAGTCAAACAAAAACAGTTTCTATTATGTCTCGTTAGTTTCCAAGCATACATATTCTTTGTACTTATTCTACGTTGGACAAAATTAGCTAAATTTTGAGCATTTATTGCACACGTTCGCTTTGTTTGAAATGGCAATAAATGTACATACTTTTAGATCGAAACATAAAATAAAATTTTCTTTTGGGTCTAGAATTAGAGACGCCGCGTTTTCTATTAGATCCATTACAAATCTATGCGGATTAAACAGTTAAAGCCTAGGCCTTCGCTTTCTTTCAGCAAAATATACCTGTTTTATGAAAACTTCGTCAATATTTATATCTTACCTTTACTTCTAAAAGGAACTAAGACTTAGAAAAAATCCACCGGCGCAACAATTCTTTATGAGACTGGTCTGAGATGTCTGAGTCTGTTAATTTCCTATATAATTCTGACCCTAACACGCGTCTTAAATTTTTTGAGTCTGAGAAACACACAGTACGAGCAAGTGTTAATTATGTACATAAAAAAATTGGTTTACCGCGCCGCCGTGGTTCAGAATTGTTGAGAATCGCACGCTTCACTTCTAGATAAAGACCCCTCTATCATAGACCTCTAGTCTACGTTCTAATGAAGAGAATCGTTAAATTAAAACCTTTTTTTTTTATCGTAGGAAAGAAGTGATCTTTCGTCCCGAGGGGAAACCAAACATATTTATGTATTTATTGACACTTCGTTGCATATACATTAATATAGTACAATTGACATAATTAAATAAAATGGAGAGCAACTGGCTTTTAGCATATTTGAAAATTATGCTAAAATAAGAATATTTCAGGGCAATAATTATTAATTAACATGGCCAGGTTAATTTTCCATAGATCTTATATAAATTATTATTAGTATGCTTATTATATAAAAAAACATTGTGTCGGTGACAGGTGCAAATGAAAATGATTTAAAAGCAAAAGCGCTGGTTAATGAGATAACGTGCAAAATATAACAGAACAAAACTTAAAACTTATATGTATAATACAATAATTATATATTATGAATATAGTAACGTAGTTGTTACTAAAACAAAACGTGTATATATCCACCCAAAAGCTGTAAATTGCACGTAATCTATATTAAATTTTCAAACCATAAGAGATGTAACAAATTGGTTGTAACTTACATATACTATTAAAATATTGTTTGGAGGTATGTCACCAACAATCTTAGGAAATAGATAGATAGAGCCGAGTAAATTGGAATGCATTTTACATGTTATAGCACCATTATAAAATTTATTATAGTTTATACAGCTTTCATACATAAAATAAAATTTCTTAATTGTGTGATTCCCATAGTTTGCAGTGTCTTTTGTGTCGCAGTGTGCCATTTATTATGTTTTGTTAATTAATTTAACTTATGAAATACAGCTGATTAGCGTGATAGCTCGTGTTACCTATCACAAGTTTTGTGTGTTCCTTTATTCATTACTAACCATTTTTGTCCATAGCTATAAGGTTTTGTCCTCGTTTTAAATGTATCCTGAGCTGAAAGAAAGCGTATTGTCGTAACTGCTGTTCTCTAAAGCGCTGGCCTTCGTCTGGTTCCTGGAAACATAAAATAGCTTAAATAAGGATTAAATGAGAACTAGAGATATACTTTTACTATGAAACTTTTGACAAGGTAGCATACTTCTCATAATGTTTAATTGACACCGGTCTCATGAAAAGGATCTGTATTCGAAACCTGTACAAAACCAAACAACCGTGAAAGTCATCACGAGGAAAGGATGAGATTGGTATTTACCGTCGTGTTCGTCAAGGTTGTATATTATCTCCGTTCTATTCAATGTATTTCCGAAGCAACTATATCAGAGGCCATTGAGGGGTTAGAGGTTGGTTGAAAGTTAACGGAAAATAATCACCATTCGCTATCAACACACTGTTTTAATAGCCTCGTCAATGGATGATTTACAAATGCTTGTTAATAAAGTTCATGAAACTAGCGAAAGAGACGGTCTGACTATTAATGCAGTAAAGACGAAGGTGATGGTCATTTCCCGATACATACTTTAGTTCCTAATTTATCCGTAGCTGGTAGAACGTTGGAACGGGTGCGGCAATACAAGTATTTGGGAACTTGGGTTACAAACGAGTGGAATCCTGATCAGGAAATTAGGTCTCGAATCGAAATTGCCCAGGATCTTTCAACAAAATGAGGAAAGTTTTGTGCTGCCGTCACATGACCATTAAACTCCAGTCCGACTTCTCCTTTTTACTATGGCCAATTGTTCTGTACGGCTTGAAGCTTGGACAATTAAAGAAGATACCCGCCGGCGCTTAGAAGCATTTGAGATGTGGTGCTATCGTCGCATGCTTCGAATAAGCTGGATCCAGAAGGTCTCTAACGAGAAGGTTCTGAAACGAGTTGGAATGTCGAAAAAACTTTTGCAGAACATTAAACAACGGAAAGTGCGTATCTGGGCCACGTGTTGCGCCATGACCGCTACCACCTCCTTCAATTAATTATAATGGGTAAAACCAGGGTAAACGGCGTGTGGTAGAAGGAAGAAACTGGCCCAACAGAGAATGGACAGGTATTGCAACTGCAGAAGAGTTGCTGCATCTGCACAGGACAAGACACGCTTCAAGATACTGACGGCCAACCTCCAGTAATGGAGAGGCACAAAGAAGAACAAATAGAAGAAAATTATAGTTGATATTAACTTTCTTTATCCACATTCAACTGTAAAATATGCGAACACTTTAAAAGGATAAGGAAACTTAGATAACAGCGATTCCACACACACATTGAATAGTGAGGCAAGAAAACTGTGCAGAAGATATCATATCGAAGGGGCTGCATTTTCCCACACAGAACAACAACAGATCTTGTAAACACTTCAACTCACTATCACTGTAATGGTAACTTATCCAAGCATAGCATGAAACCCAACAATCCTCTCCTAGGCTGTAGCGAATATGTGGCTCAATAATCAGGGACTTAAATCAGAAATACGTTTTTACCCCATAATTATACTTTTTTTTTTAAATTTAGTTATTTACACTGACCAGCTGAAGTAGCTCCACTGGCGGCCTCGCTGAATGTAGAGGTGTTGCAGATGTCGAAGCCACAGGATCGGTAGATGCTTGCCGAGTCAACGACTGATCTAAACAAACATTTTTTATTACTAGGTATATTTTTCTTCGATTAAATAAACTCAAAGTCACACAGTAATAGAAGATTAATTCAGTTGTTAAATAAAGTCGTCAAGTCCAAGGAGATCACGTTATGTTATATATTTTTAACTATTGGCTATGGTTACTATTTAAAATTTATTTATGTATAGTTTATGCATATATTTATGTCACTGGTCGGTACTTCACAGATCAAGCGTTGAGTTATAATACAAAGTAGTTTCAAGTCTATACAAAGTCAAGAGATGTTAATCAAATATACAATTTGCTATAAATTATTAATAAAAACTTTTAGTTGTACATGTTTTCGTGAAAATAATCGGGTTCTCAAGGGACTCATAATGCAGTTTAAACTATGTAAAGTTTTCTACTTTATTAAAATCTACTTATCCATGAACCAGTAGCGCTAAAACTAGCGCTTCGTGGCCTTTAAATCCTCAGATTTCTGTATCTGTTTCTTGAGTTTCTGTTTTTGAAGTTATACTTCTTTAGGCGCGTTATGAAAAATTGATGAGAGTGATTTTACGATGCGCGCGCACCGTGACACAAAATTAACAGAATGAAGTTGCCCACGGAAGATGCTACGGCATTGGACATAATTTAAAAACAACATTCGAATAATAATAGAATTTATGTTACACTTAATGTAAGATAATAATAATAAATATTTATTTATTTAATTTTTCCAATGTAAACTGAACTTTATTGACTATAATGAGTCCTTTTCCAGTCTTTGATTATTTAATTGTAATTAATTATTTGCATGCAATCAAAAACTATTTTTAATAATGCCAAAGAAGTATAACTTCTTACGCGCGTACATAAGTACACGCACCCTTTTTTTATAATAGGCAAGTAGGTGATCAGCCTTCTGTGCCTACCATACACCGTCAACTTTTTGGGTCTAAGACTTGGCGGTTTCCTCACGATGTTTTCCTTCACTGTAAAACTCGCTCGGAGTTTTAGCGAGTTTATGCGCATAAAGACAGTAAGTCCATAAGTTGAAGATCAAACCTACGACTTCAGGGTATGACTCGCACGCTAAAGCCACACTAACATTGCCCCGTTTAAACGTATCTATGGATTAAAGAAAATGTTTGTTTATGCTATAGCTTTTAGTCTTAGGATAATAAAGCATTTTCGTCCTTTACACTCTTGAGTAGACTTACCATCTCGTTTACGGAAGAGGCGCATCCTCCGCCACTTTCTGACAGCGATTTTAATTTTCTTCATCAGCGCACAATTCGATAGCGCACTTATAAATCTGTGACGCCATTTTAAACACATCTATTTCCTGTCCATTACATTTTCGTTTGACTGAGTTAGATTTGGAACTTGTTTAAGTAGAATATAGTGGTTACGTATAAGTGATGAATATTTTATTGGTTATATCCGATTTTATGTTTATTAATAGGAAATGGATAAAATAAGTGTGGAATTTATTAAATCATAATTATTTACCTGCTTTGAAATACTATAATTTCGAGAACATTGCATTTTCACTTATCATGCAAGGTCTAGACTTTCACGTCTTCGTATACGTGAAACTAATGGACCAACAAAATAATAAGGTGTAATGGTTGCAGCTCCTTACAAACATTGTATAAAACAAAATACTTGGCGATTAAAAAGAGTGGCGGAGAGTTTATTGCCAGTTCTTCTCTTCCGTTCTACGCCCTTGATTTGAGAACTGGCAGTTGGCATATATATTTATTTTTTGACGTTCATAAATGTACATTGTGTTACCTATATGAAAAAATAATTTTGATTTTGAATAAGACTTGTGATGAAAATTATTCATAACAAGATAGATGCATTCGTCGTGCGAAATATAATTACATCTTTGTACAATAATAACAATTTAAAGCATATACTTTTTATCGTTTTGTTTTGTAAATAGCAGCTGATATGATTGTCTATTTGCAACATTTGAATTTCGAACAGTATTTTAAATGGGAACTCCCAGAGCTTTCCTCGGTTGGCGGTATCGATTCAGCGCTCCCGACTTCCTGGGATGATGTAATCGACTGAGTTAAGGCCTTTGTTAGCAATTTCTTCAGCACATATAAAAACTATTTAGATTAATACGCTGCAATTCCGTATTAAATTTATTACATTGTAGATAACATATCTACTATCAAGAAAATATATCTAGTTTTTATAGCTAGGGTGAACATCGATATGTGTTGAAATTCGATAGAATATAAGTTTTACTTTTCAATGTCTATGAATTCGCCTTCTCTCATAAGAAAGAATGCCACCTATAATTTAAGGTGAACAGGACATTTACCTTGTCGGTAAGAGATACATACCTACTATAAAATCAGGTTGTATTAATTAGAAGCAATAAATTAACAGAAGGTACAAAAAATATCATGTTTTTCCCGAATAAGTTTAAAATGGAACAGGTTTGATATATAAGCGGAGAAGGAAGAAACACATGGACAAAATGACTTTGTATACGAAAGCTTCTAAAAACTGATCCTGTGATATTGAACTGGCCACTCGCCAAAATGGTCAAGGGTAAGTAACAAGTTGTTATTACATTTTTCTACTCTAAGCTTTTACACCCTTATCTATCTATGTTTAACATCATTATTTTGACAAGAAATATATAAATCACGATGAGTCGAAGTTTGGTGATTATCAAAATGATTGTATTTAAGAACTTATTAGAATTTATTGAATGGGTGAAGTACTACTTATGTACATAATATGTATTAATAAGTAATGATTCGAATTCTTTGCAGTATGTGGTGAAATACTAAAACGTTGATTGTTTGTGATTTATCAAGCGGGAAAATATAGTGTCGCCTATTTCTGATTGGAATAGAATGTTATTGGCTAATTAAAAGAAACGTGCATTTGTTGCCTTTTACGTTTTATCAGTAAGTTAGTACCTCGTCCAACTCACCTGTTGTTATCTGTATTGATCATATTTCATTTGCATAATCAGCAAAATCCAAAATAATAATTGTATTGTCTAGAATAGAGCTACTATACATGGAGTGTTACCAAAGAAGCACAGAGGTTGCGATTTCCATTTCATTTCAAAAAAGAACTTTCGCCAATATCAAAGCAATTTGTAGATTGAACCTAAAGTGGCTGGAATAATACAGTAATGGCAATAAATATCTCCCCGTGAAAAATTCATGACCGCCACTTAACTTTGATTGGTTACATAATCAATAACCTTTTCAAATAAAACTTGCAGCGAACTCTTAATAGAGTATGTTATATATGTTAAAATTATATTTTAAAATAAAAGAATTTAAGATAAATAATTTACCTTAGTAAGTTTGTAGTCAAACTAACTAGGGACCCGATTACAGATGTACTTTCTAATGTCAAAGCTGCCTGTGTGACATATCAATACCTATCATATTGTGATTATTATAGCTTCATTAAACGGTCGGAGGTGATACGGTTCAGGTAATTATTATAAAAAGGTCTTATTTATCTCTAAAAACTCCATGAAAATACTCTTTATGTGTAACGTTTTCAAAACACATTAAGTATAATTAAACTTAATATATTTACAAATATTAAGCTAAGAATTTCAAAATTTAAGTATGAAAATAATATAATCTAGATACAATCTTCTAAGGGTCTGTTTCACAATCTACGGATAAGTTCTACATAAGTTCCAAATTAGCTATTTATTACTTATTGGTAGGAAAACACTATTGTTGCGTTTCACGACTGTCAGATAGCGCTATTCGTCACATAAAGTACATCATAAGTTATGAGTCCGATGAATGTCAAATAGCACAATTTATCTTCCAAATAATTTATGTGTTGCATAGCTATTTGGTACTTTATCCATACATTGTGAAACAGACCCTAAATATCACAAACAAAGTAACAGAAATACGTAGAATATTATTGTGACAATACATTGGTACTTTTCAACTTAGTAAGGTCAATGCCCTGGAGAATTGTATTTGTAACCCAAATAGACTACTGCGAAAACGTAATGTCGCATGTATAAAATGTTTATTTGATAACGGATAGAAGGTTATTTTGTTATTATGAAAAACTTTTTTGTACTAATTCTAACAATATGATATTTCTAATAATAGGAAAATATTACCGAACAACGAAGCGTTATACGTGGAAAGTTATGTCAATAATGTAATATTCGCATCAGAAGTGATCTTAAAAAGCGTAGTACTCGCGTACACCCTTATTTTCCTAAACAATTCCCTTTTTTTTGACACAAATGATGACTGATATCGCTTAGGAATTCCTTTTTTAATAACCGATTAACATTATATACAAGTCAATATAGAATAAATTCATTATGTCTTCGCGGTCTTTATTCTTGAAGACAATTATTATACCTGACATAAAATTGTAACATAAACATTACGTCATTATAGCACAAAGGCAGTCTCATCAAATTCAAGAACGTTATTTTTAAAATTTAAACTTGGTTTAAGCACCGACAAGCATAGTTTAAATCATTTTTACCGACCCACTTTGAATCTAGGTGAGACGGGTCACCTTCCAAAGCGCAGAATATTCTACCAAAAGTGAAATTCGACAAAATAGAATTTAAAAAAGATGTAAAAACGATTTGTCTGAAACCACAGCAACCGGAAAAATATTGGACACCACTTAATAATTTGTACGCGGTTGCAATGTTAATGGAACTAGGTAAGAATTGTATCAATACAAAATATCATCTAATATATAAAATTCTCGTGTCGCTGTGTTTGTGGTTAAACTCCTCCGAAACGGCTTGACCGATTCTCATAAAATTTTGTGTGCATATTGGGTAGGTCTGAGAATCGGACAACATCTATTTTTCATCCCCCTTAATGTTAAGGGTAATCCACCCCTAATTTTTTTTTTTAGATAATTTTTTTTTTTTTTTTTATGATACAGCATTAAAAAATACATACAACCTCTAATTTTCACCCCTCTACGATCAACCCCTATTTTTTATTATAAATGATAAACATGGCAAAACGACGTTTGCCGGATCAGCTAGTAAACTTATAATAATGTTATCAGAAATACAAAACTCTAAATTTGTTTGAATCATTGCGGTATTATCTCAAAGAATTAATTAAAATGAAACCGGGTTCGCATAGATAACATTTATCATCATCCTGCCATTGGCTTTATTATCATAAAATAAATCAGTGGTGCTACAACCTCTTTAGGTCATGGCCTCAGATTTTTGAATCTGTTTCATGATCATTTTTAAATCTTAGGCAAGTAGGTGATCAGCCTCCAGTGCCTGACACAAGCCGACGACTTTTTGGGTCTAAGACATGTCGGATTCCTCACGATGTTTTCCTTCACCGTTCGAGCAAATGTTAAATGCGCACATAGAAAGAAAGTCCATTGCACAGCCGGGGATCGAACCTACGACCTCAGGTATGAGTGTCGCACGCTGAAGCCACTAGGCCAACACTGCTCTTCCTTTATTATATGTATTATATACTGTATTTAATATTCATTAAATCTTTTCTGCATCAACTTTTATTTAAAAAAAACCTGAACTTCAACTAGTTGCCTAACACTATTTTGGATTCAATCTACTCTTAAGAAATTTTCCATTAATTTTATAAAAGTACGAGGAAGTTTAAAGGCGAAAGGTGAAACATTCGTTGACGTTTGTCGTATTTTGTTATATGTTACTAGGTAAATAATAGTTGTATTTGTTATATACTGGAAATATAATTTTAAATAATACCTAATCTATGACTATAACATGATTGCTGAAAATCTGACCAACTGTTTTAGGATAAAAGTATTATGCATTACCATGTTTAAGTATTACAGTTTCATTAGAAATAAATCATAATATAAATACAGAAAGACACGGTTTTTAAAATATTTTCATTGTAACTTTTTCCGCTACCAATTTATATTTAATACGAAAACTATTTTGTGGCACGTTACGATTTTTTTCAAAGATAGTATATTTGAAGTTATGTATAAAAATGATTTAGTAAAAAATCACACACACTACACTGCATCCAAAATCACATTGTCACAGATTAAAAATACGCGGGAAATGTTTAATCACCGCGACACTACTGTCTCACACGCGGAGCCAGAGACAACTGAACGCTTGAATGGGAAATTGAAATGGGGATTGGGGGATGGGGGATGAGGTAGTTTAGGGTCGTCTGTCTCCCACTGGTATAATTTTATGACAAACAAAATACAGTTACTCAATGAACGCTTAAAATTAATATCATATATGCGAGGGGCATGCTCAACACGTCAACATTATTCATAAAAAATAAATCATTCTCATTTGACCGTTT